TTGATATTTTATAAATGAAGTATTTACTATATGGTTCTTAGATTTTACTAAGAGATTCTGTAATTTTGTTTGTCCCTACTTGATGTTGTTGTTATTTCCATGAATATTTATCAAGGTGTATACAATAAAATACTTCGAAATTACATAATCTATAATGTTGTATAAATTGATTTTTTTTTGTATTGTATGTTTGTATTACATAATCACCGTAACAAATATGTAAGTTAAAACATTGGATTATTTAATATAGTATTCAATGAAAGATGATTTTATACCATTCAAAGATATTTTTCATCATAAACTTCTATTAGCTGAAGATATATTAATAATAAATTCTCTTAATCCATTACTGTATTCAATATAAAGTTGATAAGCCACTTGATACAAAAGATCATATTAGTAAATCTCTGTAGTAAGAACATCGGGAAGTTGAATGAATTATTACAAGTGAACTTTTTCAACACATAAAACTAATTTTAATGTTGAATCAAGAAAAGCACAATACTATAAAAAAAACATAAACCATGATAGTTTTTATTCTGTCAGTTACAAAGACTGTCCAGTTTATATGGACCTTAATGTAAATGTTCAGGATATAAAATATAAAATGAGTCAGCAATGAATAGAAATAGTCTCTGTGCAAACGGATTGTTATGTAAATATATTCAAAAAAGTGACGCATAACTTATGAAAGCACCGGGCTGTAAACAAACATCAAATTTTGACTAGTTATAAACTCATGTGAGATAAGATACTAGCAAAAATCAATAGAAAAGGCATGGTAGTAGTGAGAAACATATTTTTTGAACCCCAACTATTTTCAGTATACAATAATTAACGACTATTACATAACTTGGAAGTAGATTAGTTCCTCAATGAAGTCACATCTATTGACAATTAATTATGGTGGTAAGTTATCATAACGGAAAGAATATTAAAGAAGCTGGAACTGGTTTTCCGAATTATTGTCGATGATAATTTTGTTGTACATCTGCTGAGTTACTAAATTACTATATGTAGGTATTGCTTTTAACGTTTTAAGTTAGCATATGAACTACTGTTGTACGATTTACCGTTCCCAATATTTTGCCAGTCGATTACTTGCAATATTTCATAGCCATTTTAGTTTGTTCATTTATAATTTTTATTTCTCATTTTATGGTTTCATTCGGTCTGGTATGCCTGTACATAAATCTCATCTGTTTGAAACATAAATATTGTAGAGGTTAGTTGCTACATCTCAACTTAGAGGTTGAGGATAGAGAGGAGTTTGCAAATAACGAACCATTTAGGGCTTACCTGCAGGGTCAAGGTCATGGTGCCTGTCGATTACGTGACTGGTCAGTTTGGGAACACTAGGCTGATTGATGACTTGGGAAGCGACATCAGTCAGCGGTCCCAAGACGTAACACAAGTTTATAGGAAGGGCTGAGAAAAATGTTTTTTGTAGAGTTTTTCTGAACATGATCTTGGAAACCTATGTCTAAAAAGTTAACAAAATTTTCATTAATAGACAATCAACATGTGTTAAGTATATTTACTTCATTCAAAATAATCAACTGATAACAAACACTACTTTATTAATTAAAAATAATTAATATTCATACATAAATATACTATTAGTACTGTAGTGAACACGAACACCAGTGGAGACAATCGAGTGTATATGACAGAAAACTACAGAACTTGTTAATAAAATCTAGCAATCATACAACAAATGCTTAATTTGCAAAATGTTCATCAGTTGTCTGAAAATGACTCAGACTTCATTGTTCTTGCATTTTCATACAAATTGCATTCTGTTTCCATTCTTTTATGTTCGATCTTCTTTTCTCTCTGCTGCCAGACATTCTGTTCACAACTAACGTCATATACTACTTATGTCGACATAAGTAGCACAAACCACACTACCACCACTACTACTTGTAACTCCATTTTACTTGAACATGATATGAAACCTCTAAATAAAATAAATTCTTTTTATCTTACATATCTCATTGCTCTTTCTTGAAAAAAATACAGCCAAATAATCTTACCAATACATTTGAAGTATAAACAACTTTTCCATTCAATCATAATTCAAAGCTACTATTCAGTTCAAGTATCAATGCAAGAAAAAAACGTACATTTTGAATGTAAATTATTTCGATTCAAAGGGTTATTGTTGTTTTATTTCATCACATATTTATTTTATTTACAACATATCACCCTAATTTTTGGATAAATAAAATAATGTGAAATGAATCGAACAAGAAAACAAAACAGGAAAGAAAAAAAGAAAGAAAGAAAAAAGAAAAACAATCTAATAACAGAATATTGTGTGCGATATATCGTGAATGATTTGTCAAATTTTTTTAAAAAAAAAGAGAAATCTTTCCTTTCTACTGTATTTTTAAGCTTTTTCTCCACTAACCTCTTCAGCAATGTTGTTTTTTTCTTTTGTGGTTGTTTACTTTATATTATACCTTACTTATTTCATTTTCAACTACATATAGTAAGGTACATATACATATAATTACAACACACATACACACATATACACACGAACACGCATTATTAGCATATTAACATAAATGTATATATATATATATTTTTTCTAGTCTGCTTAACTAAATAATACCTATAAAATTGGAACTAAATAAGATACTATTTCAAAATTGACACCAGGAGAATGTGTAAGTGTTAAGTTGAAATCGACTTGATTTTGACATTATCTAGTAAAGAACATTGTGTATGTGTAAATGGTTCTTTTTAAAAAAGAGGTTATCTTTATTTTATTTGTTTTCTTTTGTATGTGTATTCATTGTTTGTTTATTTGTTATTTTTATTCAAAATATTAGTTCAGTTTTTGTTGTTGTTGTATTTTTGCACTTTATATCATGATTCCTGGACAACACATGAACAGATATATAATACTAATAATCATAATCAAACGTTCCCTTTTTAAAACAATTAAATTTTATTAAGACGTTTACTAATAATGATATAATCATCAAAGACTTTGAACAATTTAGTACCCAGATGAACGTGATAGTTCAGTAGATAATCGATTGACATTTTAAACTGAAAGATACTGGATTAGTGTGTTAATTTTGATGTAAACATATTACAGTACAGATACATCCGGTTGACAAGTTTTAGATAGGACAAAATAAGAGTCTTAGATTTCACTGATATCTATAATCCATTTATTTTTTAAATCTTTGTGATATTGAAATAATGTTTTGTACATGTAATTTGTGATTTATGTAATTTATGTAATGCCTGGATTTTTTGTTGAACTGACTTGTAAATATGTTAGTAATTCACTCGTTGATATTCAAGAAGTGAAAATTTAAGTTTTAATTTATCTACAGGTATTTTTGTCATTTAATAATCAAGTAACTTTGTCAAGTATTTGTAATGTCTGTTGAAACAATCTATTAGATTGACCAAGTTTGATATAACAAAAAGTCAGCTGCCTAAGACAACTATCCTAATTTATAATTATATATCTCATTTTAATATAAGTGTTCACTGAGAGTTATTGAATCCATAAAATTTATTTTGTTATTGTTGGGAACTACGACGGAGCCTCCAGAGTCCCTAAAGGAGCCGAAAAGTTTCTACCCAATCATAACGTTATGGAGCTTTATAGAATATTAACGTGACATGCTACTGTCGGACAGTAGCATAACATGCCTCTCTTCGGACTAGATGAATTATAATGTTGATATAACAAACACTAATATATATATATATATATATCCATGATTTTTCGTACATTTTGATTCTTACCCAACAAACACTTCACCAGATTTCTTCTGTCTTCCGATTTGCAACTGTGCGGTTTTATACTTTCGAGGGTCGTAGTTGTATATCATATTCCCCGTTAATCAAGTAGTGAACATAACAGCTATTATGTCAGAGTATAAATTTCTCGAGTAATTTTAAGCATAATCAAATTACTTTTTCACTAAAACTTAAGCATAGAGATGAATATGAACGAAACTGTGGTTGGAAAATTAACACTTTTTTAGAATTATCTCCTTGATAGATTGTATAATCCTTTCGAACAAAAAATGTGTTAGCACACCAAATGAATTCAAAGACATGAAACTTTGTTTCACAACATTTACACTATTCACTCATAGATTGAAAATAATAATAAAACAGGTTTTTGATAAGCATGATAGAATTCTAATCAATCTTTGTTGAGATATGTGAATCCTTTGTGAATTGCCTTTTCGTAGATATTTTTTACCCTAAATTAATTTAGAATAGATGAATTGTGGTTAATGGTAGAATTCAGTACTATTGTTTCGTCAAGTTCAATACTCGTTAGCCGATATATACACCAGAACTAGAACCTAGCACCTTTTTGTTTAAACAACCGATGTTTATCTGATTCGACCTAAATAAGACAAGACATACATCCTTGATTCCACTACTAGCCACAATGTATTTATTATCTATGCTGTCACTTTATGTTAATACCGTCCCCAGCTAGTTTAACTAATTTGAATATCATCAACAGTATATCACTGTGTCACATGACATACGCATTTTGATAGATCTGATTGACATATTTCGGTAATTACTGCTTTGTTGTTCCGTGCTCTCTGTTTTCGTTTTAATTTCTCTAGTTGTAGATATTTATCATTAAATCGATCTGGCACACGAAATGACCTTAATTACACCGTCCATAAATCAACAGACTGTTCAGTTAAGAAATATTACATGTTCCCGGCTGATGCATTGGATCGCTGTAATACCTAAACAATTACTGAACTAGTAAACTTAAAACTCATATCACATGTTTGTTCTGTACATATTATGATATTATTTATATCAAATTGATCATGCCTGTAAACTGGCGTGAATTCTGTAATTATCATTTTTTCAGAATAAATTATTATTATTATTAATATTTTTACATGTAACGGTTTTACTATTTCACCTAAGATCGAAATATAGTGATAACTTATTCTTAATTTGTTTTTCATTTGTATACACTTCAGATCTTGTATGAAGTTGTTTCACATTCTACAATCTGTTTAATGACACATGAAAGACAACAAACTTTATGCTTGATTCAAATGTTCTTACGTGATGTTACTGAACAAGAAAAACAAAATCAACAATCTGTTGTACATTTGCAAGAATTCTCGTCAAAAGATTGGGCATTAGATAAAGTATGTTATATATAAATGTTTTCTTATTTTACATTGACTCGTGATAAAAACATATTTTAGGCTTATAATTATTACTAGTATGGAGAGTTTGTGAAAATCCTTGAATCTTGTTGCTTGGACGTTGTAGTGATTTAAGTTAGACAACCAATGAAACTGGATAACTGATTTCTCCTTATGTTGGATTTTTTAACTGTGTTCGTCAACGATACCAATGGGGATAGAACTTAGGATCTTCGGTCTCGAGATGTTCTAGTGATGATTTGTGATGCAATCACGTCCACTGTGAGACAGTTACCTATTTCACGCAATGTAAGATGATTTCATAGTATTGAGAATTAATTGAAGTGCATGCACACCAGTGGACGGCTGCTCATTAGTCTCAGTGTTAACCAAAATCTGAAGTTTTCTAATTCGATCTCTGATGGTATGGTTGGTGCTCACTGATGAGGAGTTCAAAACCAGAAGAAAATATTTATTTAATTCTTCTTGACTTTCCATTGGTTGTCTAACGAACATCAGGTGCTATATAACTAGAAATTATATGTCAATCAGTATATTGCGTTTACTTGATATTAATGCTCCCGAAACTTATGCTGAAAATGGTTTGCTACTGCTAAGCTTTCGAGTGGTCAAAATAATATTACTAGAGTTTTGAGGGTATTATAAGTGGTACTTAAGCAACGAACATTTTCATAGAATCTGTCAGCTGACGTTTAATAGTAATCGTGAAGAGAAGTACGAAACAATTTACGGATTATGATTTATTTTATTGTTCGCTGGTAATAAAAAATTTATGATGAGGTCTTTCTTTTATATGCAATGAATATCATTTAGTTATTGATGGCTTGAATAGTGAAAGAATACACTTTCTAGTAAGCTTTGATAATCGTATCACGAAGGATGCTTTGTTACAGAAGAGGATAACAAATGAGTAACGATGGGTTTAAAATTTAAGAGGAACACTAAGTTAGATCAACTTATGTCATTTTTCATCATTTTAAACAATCTGCCATTAATTTTAAGCATCTAGATATTCTCAATTAGATTATTTACATTTCCTTACCTCAGTAAGACCAAAAAAATGATAATGTAGTATATCACAGCCATGTTTTAGTACGACTAACCAGATTTCTCTCCTGAAATTGCCTTATCCTGCTCAACTCAATAATTTAAGAATTACATTTTTGAACACACTAATAATATATCCCTGGAACTCTGTGGTTGAATTCTACACTAATAACTCATTTGCTTCCCGAAAGGTTATGACTTGACAAAGTGTTGATACTGCCACTTCCTTATAACTGTGGTAAAAACTGTTGTTTGCTATTTATTCAGAGGAACAAGGCTGATATGACTTGTTGTAAAAAAAGAAAGTAAGACTGTAAATAATGATTTCTTTACTTACTGAACACTGATTTCATCAGTGATATAAATAACATCAGTGTATAGTGAAATATATACCATTTTAAAGTCTAGGCAATAAATAACTTTGAATGTATTAAGCTATCATTCACTAACATTGTTTGATCCATAATATAATTTATGTCTATAATAGTATCACGATACATTTTGAACAGAATGTTGTTGAGCTCACTGAGAGATTTAATAGAAGCATAACATCGAGATAAACAGACCAGTCGTGCACAGATCGAATCGTTACACTTTATATCATTGTTGAATGATCGCTTGAAAGAACCCTTCACTATACACCAAAATTCTTGACTATGATAGAACATTTGATAGAGTGGATAGAAGAACACTATAGAACCTTCATCGACACTATGGTGTACCTGAGGAAATTGTCAGTATCAAACGGAATTCATACGACGGACTACACTGCAATGTCGTGTATGGAGGACAGTTGACAGACGCATTCCAAGTGAGGACCGGTGTAAGACAACACTGCTTACTCTCTCCTTTTTGCTCTTTCTTCTGGTGGTCGACTGGATTATGAAAACCTCGACATCTGATTGGAAGCTCAGAATACGATGAACAGCTCGCATGCAACTAAACGATTTAGACTTGCAGATAACCTAGCTTCTCTAACACATACACATCAACAAATTTTGGTGAAGACAGTCAGTGTAGCAACATACTCTGCGACACCAGGTCACATCGTACACAAGATAAAAAGTGGGGTGCTGAAATAGAATACACAAAGCACCATAGCAGTCACATATGATGGACAGACTCTGAAAATGATGGAAAGTTTCACGTACCTGGGGAGCATCATCGACAAACAAGAACGATCTGATACAGATGTAGGGGCAAGGATTGGCAAGGTAAGAACAGCATTCCTACCGTTGAAGAACATATAGAACTTACAACAACTGTCAGTCAACATCAAAGTCAGAATCTTCAATACAAACTTCAAATCAGTTACTTCTGTTATACGAAGCTGTAATGTGGAGAACTACTTCAACCATCATCAAAAAGATTCAAGTATTTATAAACAGTTGTCTACGCAAGATACTGAATATCCGTTGACCGGATACCATCAATAACAGCCTACTGTGAGGAAGACGATGGAAGTTGTTGGTGGGATATATGTTGAGGAAATCATCAAACTGCATGACGAGGCAATCGCTAACTTGAAATCCTTAAGGAAAAAAGAAAAGTGGAAGAGCGATGAACATATTAGGTCGGGAACCGGAGGCAGATATCATAGGAATGAATAGTAACTGGGAACAACTAGAGAGAAATTTTCGGTACAGAGTTCAATGGAGAATGCTGATGAGCGGCCTATGCTTCTCCACGAGAAGTAACATGCATAAGTAAATACAGAATGTAGAATTAACGATTTTTAAATATTTTATTTCAACAGTAATAGCTTTATCTAAATTACCATTGATTCTATTGAACTTATCCATTTATTCAGGTATTTTACGGGACTAATTACTTTCCTAAACAAATATATTCAATAAATGATCAACATAAATTATACAATCATCAATGTCAATTTGAATTCATGAATAATTCAAAAGATATAACTGATCAACAAAATTCTACAGTTTCTAACTCATTTCAATCAAATATTGATTTGAAACATGTAAACAAAGTGGAAAACACTTCTAGTGTTGAAGATGAAAATAATGATAAGAATGATGCACAAAGTCACAACAACAACAACAACAACAACAACAACAGTTTTAATGACACTGATGACAATAACATTGGTCATACACAATTCACAAATGAATCACAAACTGATGTGAACTATCATAATAACAATAATTACATCGAGAAATCTATGGAAAAGAATAATCACTTACAAAAGACTGTTGACAACTCAATTTATATAAAGGAAACAATGAATGATAATCAAAATTTACAAAATATTTCACAAATTCACAATAAGATGGCATATTCAAATCAGAAAATATTATGTAAGAATAATTGTGCATTATGTAATCATCATATTCATTCTCAACTTTGTCATAATCATCATCATGATCATCAACATGATAATAATAATAATTATTATTATTATCATAATCCGCACTGTTATCATTATCATCATCATTCTTGTCAATTTAATAATGAATTATATTATATACCACAAATTGTCACCTATTTTCCTGCTAATGAATATCTACTTTCATTATCTACAAATAAGAATCAAGCATTTTATTCAATTCCACATAGTACTATTCCAGATCATAATAATGATACTACTTATAATACTACTATTGATACTAATACTTCTACTACTACTACCATTACAAATAATGGTAATCATTCAACAACAAATATTCTATCTAATAAACTTCCACATTATCATGCAAAAATACTTCTACCACAAGATAATAGTGTAGAAACAACAAATAATGGTGATATACGATATTATGTTGGTGTACCATGTTCTTATCCATCGAATATAATCTGTTCAAAATATTCTCTAAATAATATTAATAATAATGTTTATAGTAGTAATAATAATGATGATAATAATACTGTACAAACAAGAGATGATGTGTTAACTTATTGTGGTGAACCATTTATTTATTATACACCAGATCAAAATTATTATATTTATTCAACACCAACTGCATCAACAATCGCTTCATCTATACAAGAAAATATTCCTATATTGTAAATTATTTATTGAATTTCCATAAAATTTATTATATTCATAACTTGATTGATTTATACACAAAATCTATCCGTATGCATTTCTTTATAAATGAGAATAAATGACTGAGAAAGCGCGCGAGAGAGAGAGAGAAAGATGGAGAGAGGGAGAGAGGGGGAAACAAATCTTTAAAAATTTAGGATATAATCAGGCAGCAGTATTTAAAATTTACATATTCACAAAATTAATTTATTTGTTTTAGGTTTTACCACATAAAAAGAAATAACAAAAAACGGAAAATAAAATTTGACATTATTTTCAATTCAACTTATATACATACATAGATACTGGAAAAAAAAAGAAAAAAATGAAGAAAAAAGAAAAAAAAAACAAAAACTAGATACTCATTACATTATATTCATTATTAATGTTGTGTCACTGAGATATTTATAAGTTGAACTATAATTTTGTCCATTAAACATAATTTTTGTGATTGTCCTCTATTTATTTATTTATTTGTTTGTTTATTTGATTTTCTTTTTGTATACCTGAAATTATTTTATTGTATGTTTGTTAAAATTCTATTTTTTTTTGTTTTCTCTCCCAAAATTCCATGTCAACATATGTTTATGTTGTATTGTATTGTTGCTATGTCTTGTGATTTTAAATATGAAAAAATTGATTAAGAATTATTATGTTGTATGTTCTTTCGTTTGTTATTTATTTCTATGGTTTATTATAAAAAATAAAATTGATTTTTTCACCAATTAAGTAATATTCATTGTCATTATGCTAGACAAGAAATATCTTGGTGTTGAGTAAATTCTATCGATTGAATTAACAATGTAACTAATAAGGGTATAATTTAAAATCAGGTTGTATTTTTTTTTAATTTTTGGTAAGATTAAGTGATCGAAAACAATTATGGAAGATCGTTGATGAACAAGATTTTATACTGATCATCATTTGCATGTTTCCGAATAAAAGTATTCTGATTTATTGTAATCGATCATATTCGTTAGTATCCATTGTTACTTAAAATAGTAATCCTTATTTGGTCGATAAGCAAATGTAAATTACTTTTGAATAAAATGTCAGTGCACTGATCTTTATAGTTGCAATTATTATTTGAAATGTATAAGTATGTCTGTCGTTTGTATTAACTTTACATTATCGAGTATCTATTCTGTTTATCTATATTCCAATATTTATGTAGAAGACCACCTCCATATACCTGTTTGGTAACTTAATAGTCCTGCCCCATTTATCTCTCTACGTGACTCTGTTCATTGTATACTCTTGATTATTGTAAAATGATATATTGACTATACATAGGTCGTCTGAGAACAACATATAGAGAAAATAAAATCAGCGCCTTCAGATTCTACTGCCTGATGCAAACAATTACAGATAAAATTTAGAGTTTGATGCTTGTTAACGTTTGTTGCATTAAATCTAGGATTTAATCCTGTTACGATTAAAAAGAAAAGAGCAATTTATCCGTTTACACTATATGTATATCTTTACTATATTGTAGAGCAGATGAAAAAATGTCGTGAGTAAACAAAAACACATTGAATTCATTTATCACTCAACAAGAAAAAGTGAGACGCATAATACATTTAAAAAGATGACATAAATAGCTTTCGACTTATCTTCTGGTTATTTTGTAGGCTGTATCAGCTTATTCTTCCTGTGATCTCACTACAAATGACTGTTTCAGGTTAATGATACCACATTAAAAATATAAAGGAACTAAAGAAATTCCACATAGAGACTTCATTTCATGTTGATCAGTCTTCATATTTTTCTGAACAGAAAAAGAGAACTATTTGTGTTATGGGTATTCAATCTGACTTGTAGGTGGTGTTTAGTTACGAAAAACTATGATTTGTACAATCTGCTTTCTATTATTATCTGATTCCTTAGACTAGACTCATGATTTACTTACGAGTCCTTCTTATGTATGAATAGTGAGGATTCGATAACGTTGATAATGTAACATGATGGGACCAAACATTACGTTTCAAGAGGATACTGCCGAACACGCTCATAATTGAACAAGAGAATCTAAAAACTAATGAAAGTATGTAAAGTATTTTCAGACAATACCGATTTGCACAAACAAAATCTGAAAATTTACAATCATTAAAAGTGTAAAAACACCTTCAGCGATGCAAGTCACAAAGACACTAAAAATCCTTGTTTTATCCTTTGAAAGCTTGAAAAGGTATAACATCGGCTAATAACGAAATATGTGATTTACGAAAACACCCAGACTGGCCTTCCACAGCACCATAGGAATCTTTGGTCTTCATTTTGAAGGAATCTGCAGGAAATTTCATTTTTTTCTCATTATGAGTGTATTTTGCGCATTTTTCTTCTACCTTTTAACATATTGTGTGTAGGATAGAGCACGGCTCAGGTTTTTTGTACAGCGTAATGTGTGACACTGAAAACTCTGGAAATGTACAAGATGCGTAGATCGACATCAGTCCAAGCTATGAAAGAGATATTCATAATTTTACTTTCAACTTACTGCTTGTAGCATCTGTACTAACTGATGATTCTTTTGTACTTGATTATACTCTTATTACGAATTCTAAATATAATACGTCCAGTTGGACTCATCCAGTTCTACCCATGGCAGTAACTTCACTTTTTCTCTAAACAGTGGGAAGATTATTGCTACTATCACTTCACCCAGCTCTAAAAGAACACATTGATCTGTATCGGTTTGATTACAAACGCCCGACCGTTGATACTACCTTGACGTGGTGGTTGAGCTTGACTATCATGGTGATCAATCGAGCTATACTGGTTGGAACAATAGTCTTTCAAGTCCTACCATGCCAGACAGGCCGGTTAAAGAACAGTATGACTAAAAGCAACACAACCAAGTTCCAAAAACGAAGTCATACTGACGATTGTACAGAGGTGTGACGGCAGTAAAGTGTTTCCTTCAGACAATCAGCATAACAGCTATGCTGCCTTCCCACAAGGAGGGTGAGGTTGAAAGGGGTCGACCATGAAACCTCACACTTCGCCTTATCCCACGGATATCCGTCTCCGGCGGTAAGCCCCCAAAAAGTACGAACTTAATTACGCCTGTTGCCCCTCGTGGAAGAGCATAGGCCACCCACTAGCATAACAAAAGTTACCCACAAAAGGTCGTGTGTGACCGACCTCAAGCAGTTGTTTCTTGGGCACTGTGGTCACGCTCTCAGGTCACTAAGACCATCTCTAACCCAATTTCCCTTTCAGGCACCTCTAGAAGAATCCTTCACGATGTCGGCAATCGGGAATTGATAACCGCTCTCATACCTCTAACAGCACTCAAGACCAATGTTTTCATAATCGATCTCCCTCTTCAATTCCTATCATTCCTCCCACCCTAACTCTTAACTCCAAACCTCCTCTTTTGACTTCCTCCTCACGGTTCACCATGATCAATGATTCTAGTGAGCAAAACACTGTCCCAGGTCTACTGAAACCTCGCTCCAAACTACAGACGTGAGTGCCCTATATCAAATCAACCAGCAGGCCTCCTTGGTTAAAACCCTAGAATCTCGTACCACTAATATATGATGTATCTGCAAAACACACATACAGGATCCTAGTGTGGTCGTTCATTTGACCTCACCTCGGCAAAACGGTGAGTCGACGAGATACATCCTCCGTGTATCTGGCGCCCCAATTGTTAGTTCTTGTAGACTGGCGGGTGTAGGTATGACACTAAGTACGAGGGCAGAACTAGTATTATTAAAATGGATCCTCGTTAACAGTCGTCTATGTGTTGTTTGGCTAAACGGCTCCGTAAGGACTCGGAAAAACAAGGACACATGTCGTCGCCTTTTTGTCGTTTCTGCCTACGCTCTCACTGACTGCGACCCGGATGATGTGAAAAATGACTTCCACAAAAAGCCTTCTGAACTTCTTCATAAAGCTAAATACACAAACATAATACTCGTAACAGGCGACTTGAATGCTCAGATAGGTAGCTTAAACCAAGCAGAAAGACATTTAAGTGGGTATATTTGTATCCAGCTTGGCGAACAGATAATGGTAATCGTCCGTTACAACTGTGCTCAGACGATCATTTGCTTTTAGCAAACACAAATTTTAAGCATAAGGAGAGACATCGTCCAACATCGCGACTCTTTGCAACAAACCAACGATGGACCCAAATAGACTATACTACCATCAGTCATCGTTGGAGAGGCCCAATAAAAGACTGTCGCTCGTTCTGGAATACCTGTTTGGAATCCGGCCATGCCTGCACCTCTCTGGACGCAGGGAAACCACATTACGAAGATCCACTAGAGTCGAACTCAGTGGTGAGTAAGATAAGAGTGAATTCCAGGAACGACCGAGGTCACACTTAGGTAGTTCTGAAAATGAGGCTGACCCAGATGTTGCTTGGAAAGTTATACAAGCAGCTGTGGAAACAGCAGTGACATCTACTAGTGATCTAAACCACAGGGTTACAAAGAACCAATGGATTTCTTCTAGGTCTAGTGCACTGATGGATTCTCGTAAACTCATCCCATCAGACTCTGAACACGATGGAGGGCGAAAACAAATCATATCTCGGTTAACCAAAATCCTAAGAAACGACTTTGAGTAGTGGTGTTCATCGAAAGCAAAAGAGATGGAAGAGGCGACGGCCATAGGTAGCACAAGACAGCTCTTCAGACTAATAAAAGAAATTGGGACTAAACAGTGGAGTGTAAGTGGGACGATCTCGGAAAAAAACAACACTTTTGTCTGATCTCAGCCCAGACGTTTAGAATGATGGGTGAAACACTTTAGAGAACAATTTAGCTGGCCTTCAGCTACTCTACAACTACTCACCATTCCCAGACAGCCCGAACGGAACATTGAAGTAGGTCCCCCGACTGTAGTTGAGGTTTAAAAAGCTATAATTAATCTAAAACGAGGCATAGCAGCTTGTTCAGATGGAGTGGCTCCATATGTCTTTAAGAATGGTGGTCCAAATTTAGCGATTAGTTTATTGCATGTAATCCCATCTAAATGGTCTCAACCACTGATTGTCCCAGTATATAAAAACGGGTCAAAATCATCCTGTGACAATCATAGAGGGACTAGTTTGACCAATATAACATCTAAAATATTCGCCTCAATAATTATCGGAAGCCTAACAAAGACTGCAAACCTTTACTTATTTGGGCAACATCATCGATGAACACGGTGGATCTGATGCAGGTGTGAAGGCACGGATCGGCAAAGCAAAAGCAGCATATTTACAACTGAAGAACATCTGGAACTCAAAACAATTGGCAACCAACATCAAGGTCAGAATTTCCATTACAAATGTCAAGACAGTTCTACTGTATGGGGCGGAAATCTGGAGAACTACGAAAACCATCATCCAGAAGATACAGGTGTTTATTAACAGTTATCTACGCAAAATACTTTGGATCCGTTGGCCAGACACTATTAGCAGCAACCTACTATGGGAGAGAACAAACCAGAGCCCAGTGGAGGAAGAAATCAAAAAGAAGTGCTGGAAGTGGATAGGACACACATTGAAGAAAGCACCGAACTGCGCCACGAGACAAGCCCTCACATGGAATCCTCAAGATCAAAGGAAACGAGGAAGACCAAAGAACACATTGTGCCGGGAAATGGGGGTAGACATGAGAAAAATGAACAAGAGCTTGATGGGACTAGAAAAGAAGGCTCAGGACAGAGTGAGTTGGAGAATGCTAGTCGGCGGCCTATGCTCCAGTGGGGGTAACAGGCGTAAGTAAGTAAGTAAGTAACAAAGACTACAAATACGAGAAAATCAGGTTGGTTTCAGACCTGGTTGCGCACAGAGAATCTTACACAGAGGTTGTTGAGAAAACAAATCCGGGATCAAAACATGTACCGTACTATCACTGATTTCCACTGGAGATATTGACAAGAGTAAGCCATACTTGTGAGACAAATAATACCTTGAAATAGTAGCTTCCCGTCGGTGGCCCTGAGAACAGTACGAATGATCAAGAGGTGGAGGGGTAAGTTGCCTATGACCTGCCGCAGCATATTTCTCAGTGGCTACCAGCTTCATTTCATCAGCAGATTGAACCATTGACAGTTACTCACTGACCAGTCCTAATAACAAAAATGTCATCACAGACCGACTATAAAGTTTAGGGAGATAGAGTATTTAATGGAAATCATACCCTCGTCTATATGGTTTCGAAACTAGATTCATGTTATGCCATGTATTTGACCTGAATTAGTTTTGTGTAATTACCGACTCGGTCTATAACGTTATGCAAATCCAAGAACTAAATAAGACACCATATTTGACCCAGATTCTCTTAGATTTATGACTTGTCGGACGATTCTACTTCAAATCCTCTTCGACAAGCAATCGTTAGTCCATACGGAAGTCCATCAAGCGAACGTTATTTTCTAGTTCGTCCAACACTAATTGAATTTGTTTAATTACCTCACGTCTATGACTAAGACTTGGACCCAATTTGTATACTGTCGCTATGTCAGATGTTTACTTGTACATTTATGATCTTTCAGGTGGCCTAGCTAGTGTTTTTGGTCCTGGTCTCTTGGGTATGCTAGATGGTTTATTAACATTACTCCGAATCAAGGCAAGAAAATTGATGGAATATGGCATACTGCTGCCGTTTTGTATGATAAGGAATTTTTCTTTGGACAATCAGGAATTCAGTATTGTCAGCCAGTGAGTTTTTAAACTAGAACGCGTTTTTGTTCATTCAGAGAATTTAACAAGCTGTTTAAATAAATGGTATTACATGCTGTTATTCATCTACAAATTACAACAGCGATATCTACACTATTCGACTTCAGCTTAAGTCGAATAATCAAAAATAATGTGCATAACTTCGAGCGTGTTGACTAAAATAGTCTATTCACTAGTTAAGGACTTTGATAATCGAATTTCAGCTTCACAAAAACTTCAGAAAATGCCGGTCGGTTGTATGCGTTCACTATTCATGTCTGGAATATCTAACAATTGACATCCTTATACTATGCATGTAAGGGCCGGGTTTTAATCGACGTTTATCCACCAGAAATACATTCAGTCTCATTATTTCGCGAGGTTTTTTCCTACTAGAATAACTACCTTTGAACAATTAATTTGTCATCCGATCATAACTAAATGTACTTGAAATGGGTCGTTTGTATTTATTTAATTTTTTTTCCTAATTCTCAATATGATTATTTTGTACTGATTATCCGTCCTCCAGTGTTCTGGTTTCCAGCTCCTGTTGGTTATAGGCATCCTTGCTCTTGTAGTGTAATGAATTAATCCGAAAAATTTCGTGTCTAATTTCCATTATTAATACTTCGCTCATCCAACATCCTTTTTGGTTTTAATAGTTAGGATATATATATATGCTCACCTTTTGGTTTTCCAATATTTATAGGGAGTTGATATTATGTATTGCAAATCTACTGACCATCCACGTGTATACTGTATAAAAGGCTGTTAAGTTAGGAATGATTTTAAGATTCGACTTCAAAATTGTGTAGTGGTCAGTGTATTAGTAAACCGCAGCCTGTACATCTACTTAAACCTTGAAAAAACTAATAACAAGGCGTTTTTTCCTTCTGAGATGTAATTTCTAATCGCTTCCTGAGAATCAAAAACAGGTTTCCTCTCAAAAATGCTATCTCTGAACCTGCTACTCTGTAATGTTATGTCCACCAAAATTGTGTTTGCCTCTTTGAAGTATCTAATCAAAATGTTATTCACTGCATTTTGGCTTTTTCTGCTGTTTCGTATGAAGTGATTTTTATTCACTTCTGCATTTCCAATCTTGAGGTTTTAGGGATCTTGTATATAAGACAGTTATTTTAACGTTAGTTGTTTGTCCGGGGGAGTTGCTGAGGTGCTGAGAAATATATAAAATCTTTTAGAATGTTTTTCTATTTAATAAAACCTAGGAGTCAGTTGTTCAGGTGTTTGAATCCAACCACTAAGTGTCGGGTTGGAGCCCTGCTTCACCTTGAAATTCTACATTGATGTATTTCTCTTACACGTATATTTGTGCATTGTGAGATATTGTTTACTATTGACTTGTATAAAAATAAGTAATTTGTTTCATATAACATTCAATAGTAAATTTGACCAACGGTAAAACCCCTGAACATCTCATCCGTCGGTATACAACCTTATGACTATCAAAATTCCACATTACGCTTACCACATACTAGCGAAATTACTTCGACCAATCATTTTTGAGAGGGACGTTTATTTTATTTCGTCAACTCACTTGTGTACCACTTATTATTACTGCCATGATCAGGTGAAACTGATCCTGTTGCTTATAGCACCAACCGTCATTCCTAATTGCGAGTTCACGTAATTCAAGTTGCATCTCTCTAATAGACGACCAGTTTAAATCCATTGTGTTCATCGAACCTTTCATTCACTTCAGGAAATAGAAATTGCAAACCATCAGTAATTTATTTGGCGCAATTTTATTGGGTTCTATTCCCGAATATAGTCTTCTAGAGTGTAGACCGCGTGTTGTAAATAAGCCAGTATTGAGTATCGTAAGTAAATTCAAAGTTGGTAATAACAAATACATCGAGAGTGTTAGTTAATACAAAAACTGGATCAAAACCTAAAGATTGACGGTTAAATCAGTGAGTCAACCTCTCAATCAACTGTATTTGAGTATCCATGCCTGTTGTTAAAACAATAAATTTAGCTGGTTTGTGTTTTTTTCACTCTGTTTATGCTCGTCCATCAGTAGGCGTAAATTAAATTAATTGTAAACAAAAATAATTTTAACTAAAGAGGCAATTTTCAGAGCTGGTTGGAAAAAACTAAATCACCAATAATTCTATAAAATTTGAGTGGATAACTTTGAGGGTTTCGAACAACCATTCATCAACACTGATTAGTCGGGATGGGATCGATCATCATGTTCAGATCATTTTTGGTTTTGACTTATAGAAGTAATTCATTTTAAGTTGAACCTACTAACGTATATTTCCACTCGCGCAATTCACTTTGAAAATGTTTTCCCGATAACGACATCATCGTCTTTTTCCGTCACTTCACTTTTCTCAATTTTTCTCCAAGTGCTCAACCTCTTTAGGAAATCCATTAAAAAAGCAATTCATGGGGAAGACATCGTTGTCAGAATCTGAAATTTTCAATTATTTAGAGCGACTATCCAATACATCGTTCAAGTAAGTCACGAGGTCAATTATGGAAATATTTGTAATTTGATTATTTGGTTCCCATTTGCCTGTGGCTCTTCTAGGGCTACTGCCGGCCTCAAGCCCACATAAAGGAGGAGGGTTGGGTATGGGGTCGGCAACCCCATTTCGTAGAAAACAACCTTGCTAAAAATTACTAACCAGAATAAACAATTTATACAATTTAAACCCTACCCTGGCAGTTGAAGGAAAAACTATGACGCCTCATCATAAAACTCGAGATTCTTCGGAAGTCACGAGGCCAATGTTCGCTCTAGCAACCACAGCAACAAGTTTTATAGGTACATGGAGCATCTGGACAATGTAGGAGACCGGGAGGACCAGTCAAATAGCTGAGGAAATGAGGAGATACGAATTGGCGGTTCTTGTTATACGGAAAACCGATTGGAACAAAGCTGGACAAAGAAAGTTTAGATTCAGGTGAGGTGCTGTTGTATTTTGGTCATTAAGAAAAAACTTCGATCACAACGAGTTCCACTAGTGCTGTCTTAAGAAGCACATAATGTACTTATAGGATGGGAATCATCGATCCAGAATCACCAAAGCATCCTTCAAAACAAAGAAGGAGGGAATTACAATGAATATTACCCAATGTTATTCACCCACCAATGGTAGCAATAACGACGATGAAGGTCAGCTCTACGAGAGTCTGCAATGGGTCATAGCGAAATGCCTAAGAAATGACCTGACAATCCTGATGGGATAACTAACCGCCTCAACATACATAAGGGAAAAAGCAACATTCTCAAATTCAACACAGAGTACACCAACCCAACCACACTTGATGGAGAACCTATGGAAGATGTGGAAAATTTCACGCATCTGGGTAGAATCATTTATGAACGAGAAGGATTTGATGCAGACGTAAGGATTGACAGGGCAGGGACAGCACTCCTATAGTTGAACATATGGAACTGAAAACAACTGTCAACCAATATCAAAGTCACAATCTTTAATACGAACGTCAAGACAGTGAGTTTTAGTGTACGTAGCCGAAACTTGGAGAACTACTACAACCGTCCTCAAAAAGGTACAAGTACTTATAAATAGCTATCTAGGTAAGACACTGAATATCTGTTAACCGGATATCATCAGCAAGAGCCTACTATGGGAAAGAGCAAACCAGCTTCCAGCTGGAGAGGAAATTAGGAAAAGATGTTGGAAGTGGATAACACACATAGAGGAAATCATCAAACTTCATGAGGAGGCAGGCGCTAACTTGGAATCCTGAAAGGAAACGAAATAGAGGAAGACCAAAGAACACATTGACTGGGAGATTGGAGGCAGATATCACAGGAATGAATAGCAACTGGGAAGAATTTTCCAGGACAGAGTTGAATGGAGAAGGCTGATGAGCGGCCCATGCTCCTCCACGAGGGTTAACAGCTGTAAGTAATCCTGCATAGTTTTAGGGTAAACAAAGTAGGGTAGCTCTAACTGAATAGTAACTAACTTGGAACACAATAATAAAAAATAAGGCGACTCGTATTTACTTATTACGAAAAATACAAACTATTCATTCGAAACAATCGTTAAGAAATCTGATTTGCAGCTACTGTATCTTAAGTTCAAACCTCACTGTATCTGCTTCTGTTTGTGCAATCAGTTATTACTACTAGTCGTCATATTTACAGTATACGATTTTTGCCTCGTAAACATTCATCCATTTTGATTCAAGTTATATTTTGTAGAATACTTTGTTGTGGAAAATTTTTAAGATTGACAGTGATGATGATGTGTTAACTGTAGGGGTAGATTGGGCTATTTGGGGCTATGCCCCCGAATGCCAAGTCAATGTCATGTCGTTCCAGTCGAGATGATTTATGTGAGACATGTTTGTGCAGTTGTGTGTATGTATGTTCAAGAATGAAAAATGTGACATTTGTGGTGTGAATGGGTAGTTTTGAATTTGTATGTACGATAACGGTGTGAGATGTGAATAGAATCAGACATGGCTACCCGGATAGATGGTCCAAGTCAGATAGATGGTGAGGCCTTCTTTTCAATTGGAGGCTGTATGATTAAGCAATATATGCAAAGCTTCAGCTACTTGCCTTTCTTTGTAGTTGGAAAATTTTTTTTGTATTATTTTGATGCTCTTAATATCGACTTGATAGTTATTGACAATGTCAAGGACTGCTATTGTCGAGATAATTTGAACTCTTTCCAGTTCTATTTGATCACTAGGCAGTTTTTCTGTGTACCTAAGATGTTCTTTAGCTCGAGTCGAAATTTCACGAGATGAATCTTCAATACAGAAGGCATCATAAACGACACATCCTAATTTGTAGACACAATTCTGTGTTGATATAAAAGGAATTATTTCCTTTATGCGGACGAAAGCATTTAGAAGAGTGTTCGTTGTTTGATAATATATTTTAATTTGGTGTTATTTTAAGACTTTGAAATTCTGTTGTACCATGGCGGTGCAGTAAAACTACAGTACCAATCCATGGTATTTCATTCGGATTATTATTTAGCAGTAAAAGATCTCGTTTTATTGCACTTTTAATAATCCTCATAGCAAAATTACCAAATCGTAAGATGCTAATTATGTTTTCGTACTTTTTGTCTATCCTCTTCAAATGTAATAGTCTTGTTTGCTCTTCTAAAGAGATTTAGGTTTAGAGAGATTTTTGCACCGAATGGATGTGCTGAATTGAAGTCGATATAACGATTTGAGCGCGCTGGTTTTCGGTAGATGGTTAGATTTGAAGCGCCACTTTGACTTCTTTTAACTAATCAATTTAAAAATGGTAGCTCACTGTGTTCATTTTCACTCTCGTTCGTACAGAGAGAAAAAAATTAGTTCGTAAAAAGAAAATCCAAGAGCAATTTTAATCTCACAGTTTTAAGGCAAAACAAAGAGTGTACGCACCTATGCCGTTGTGATCGATTCTGAGCCATGTCACCCAGTCTCCAACCACTGGTTGTGGTAGTCGTGCGGACCCTAACCAAGTAGTCTGCATTTATCAACATGGCTCGGACCAGAAGTTAATGGCTTTATGAATTGATGCTACGTTTTGATTTGGCCGCCCCTAACTTTCTTCCATCCGTCTCCAACACTAGTCAGCATCACAAGTCGTGGTAATCGGTGGTTGATGAGGATTTACAATCTCATCAACTGATTTACCACCATTCTCCAATATCCTGTGTCTAATCTCATTATTACTTATCCGGTGATCCCAACTGATGCTGGAAATATTTCTAAGACATCTGTGATCAAATACTAGTAACTTACGATTATCCTTTAACCTTATTGGTCATGTTTCGCAGCTGTGAAGTAATAGAGTAGTACGGAGTGGGCTGAAATCTGGGAAAGTTGGAATTACCATGATCAATCAATCGTGTGAAACAAATACAGTAACGGGGTGAACAAACTTGTTTTATTCATACGACAAACAAAAACATTGCATTAGTCGGGTTATTCGTGATAATATCATAGGGGATTGTAGTGATTGTTGAATTTGAAGCTTTTCATCACCAACTAACTTCGGTTAGACCTTATCTAAAAACCAGGAAGCGTTGGATAGCTGTTTTGTCACAGTGTCGGTGCTAAGGCGACCACAGGTTGTCTACCTTCTACCATTAAATGTTAGTTCATTCTCTAAAAGATAGCCTCGACAGTATTTTGATATTCATATTTCCGCATTAATCTGTTCTGTTAAATAATTGTTTTTTTCGTCTAGTTTGCTAATTTTCTTATATCCTAAGGTTGTATTTTGTTGTTATACATACAGAATTGTCCCACTTCGTATTTTTACCTTTGGAATATCAAGCATATCCTGTTCTTCTGTCTTCTCTCTGCACCCCATCGCTATAGCGATCTTTGTCGGTGTTATCTATCAATAGCCGTACTACCGAGGCCGTAATTAGTTACTGTAGGACTAATCGTAAATTATAACAGAGGGACTCCACAATATTGGTTTATGAGTCAACCAGAGGTCAAATCCAGGACCTTCAAACAATAAATGGGGGTCGGGGGCGTCTAAACGTTTGAGTACTGAATTGATATCGAATGGTTTACATTTCTGGCTTCAGTTCATGTTATTAATATGCGTGTCGTATCAATAAATTGATCTTGAATTTTCAAAGAGATATGATTATTATTAATTCATCTGTTTTTATTTAGACCAGGCGATTATTCGCTTTTTGAACATAATTGTAATACTTTCAGTGAAAATTTTATATTTCACTTAACTGGACAGCATATCCCATCGTATATATTGAACTTGCCTAATGAAGTTTTGTCTACACCATTTGGAGCTTCATTAGGTTCAGCTTTGAATGTTCTGTCGGTTGGAATCAATTCCAAAACACGTTTGAATAGTGTTAAAGAAACTTCATGTATGTGTTATGTTTCATTATTATGATAACTGAAATTTTAAAAAATATTATTTATAGCTAATAACGATAAACATACATATGCTGATATAATCAAATCTTTTCGACCAATATTTTTTGATGTAAGTGTTTTGTGATTGAGCTTTTTGGGGTATTTTTTTCATTTAATTGTCTACACTAAAATATCTCATGTGGTTGATTACTGTCAATATACTGGCTAGATTCTCAGATACGTATTTGCTCAGTTGGCTTCAAACCGCATTCTAAGTGCGAAAGATGAAGTTATTTTCTAGATAACTAAATCGAAGTAGGTAGGTTGAATGGGGTTTGAACCTGAAACTTAATAATTTAAAGTTAAATAGTATAATCACTGAGTCACCGCTTCACTTGTAGTAAATTAGCAAAGTTTATGAACGAGACTGTTTTAAGGTTGATTTTCAAAGTTGATTATAAATCTCATTTATCGACTTGAAACTTTTATACACTCAGCCTTGGTGTATATTGTTTGTATATGCGTGTGGGCGGTTAATGAAGAGGAAGTAGGCGGTAGTGGGAGTTTGAATCTTGAACTTGCGGGTTGAAAGCCGTGTGCGAACTTGTAATACTAGCTGTATTGGAGCGTGATGTCAGTAAGGTATTCCTCTCAGAAAACCAGGATTTCCATTGCTATTACTCTCTCGTGACGGAAGGAGAGAATTAGGCAAAGTTGACTACAAATTCCACACCCCATTTCGCCCTACAGCTTTCTGTCGCTGGAGGTACGAGCATTCAAATACTTTATCTTTAGGCAGTCCACCATTTTCAGTAGAATTACTCACAATTAAAAACCAATGAATCAACGGTTTATTTAGGCCTTGTTGGTAATCAATATATCATACAGTTTATTATTTGCATGAAAAGTCAATGCAAGTTTGTTTTACTGTTTTCACTGACGTTGAAACGAATGTGAATAATGAGCGTTAGCTCATGAGATCAAAGGTCATGGGCTTCATTCTCTGTGGCAGGGTCGTGGAAGCTCACCTCTGAGTACCATGCTAGGATGAAACAACTGTCCAGTGCTTTCTAGTTTTTAATAGTGGTCTAAGAAATTAGAAATCTTTAGTCCGTAGTCTTGGTTACCCTTTCATACAGTATCTCGGTACTGAGTTTTCAAAAAGCGTGAATATCTATACTTAATACTGCATTCATTGACATATATCACAATACGTATCCAATAACTTTGAAATAACGACTGCAGTTGATCTTCAGTTCTGATTAACGTAATCAAGTCCCTTAATTCGACCATAAGATAAATCGGTTGAGAACTGTAATATTTGTTCATTTACTTACATGTTAGTTTCAACAGTAATAAAGTAGACAATGAATTTTGATTAGCGATAATAATGATAACACTGAAAAAATCGTTCCTGTTTATCATATCTGTGTGTGTATGTATGTATATATATTTCCTTTCAGGAACCTTTATCCTCAGAACTTCTTCCTCATCGTGTATATTTGTTATGGCCATCTGGGGAAAATTCAAGTTTACCAACTTTGGCTTCAGAATTATCGGGAGTACTACTTCATGAAAACACGGAAGTAAAGTGTGCTGAAGAATGTTCACCTCTACTTGGTGTGTGTTTATTCGTGTACATTGTTTCTGCAATGCTATATGTAATTCCTAGTTTATGGTATTTTTTTAGTAAAATGTTTAGATTAGTAGTTAGAGTTGGTAATTTTCAGTGTCATGATATGCTGTTTGTCCGCAGTTTGAAGGAGAGAGTCACTTTTCCAAGTCATGAAGGATATCTAATGTGGGATGTTTTTGATAGATATAAATTTTCCAGAACTGATTCTTGTAAATTAAATTGGGACCAACACTTATCTGACTCATTCAGACTTTTTGCAATGCTTTATTCTAGGTGCTGGTTTTTTAGAGTCTGTAATTTTCATAGTTTTTTTTTAAATTTGGAAAGACTTATCACACATCACGGATTCAGAAGACTCGATCGGCTTTTGTGAACTTACGTTACCTATGGCGTAGGCGAGATATTCTTCTAACCAACGGTTGAGTCTACTGCGCTGAAGTTTGCTTCATCCTACTTTATGGATGTAAAACGTGGCGATTAAGAGTAGAGAATATACGTAAGTCACTGGTGTTTACGAAACATTGTTCGTGTATTTTGAAACCACGGAGTAAGCAATGTCTGGGTTAGGAATAGAGTACTAGGTAAAGATGGAGAATCGATTGATGAGGTAGTAAATCTTCATCAACTAAGGTAGTTGTGACATGTGTTACGTATACTCAACCACCGCCTACCTCTACGAGCGGTAGCATTTGGTGTAGGAGCAGGCTAGAAGAAAGCTAGTGGCGATCATACCAAAACGTGGCATCAGTTCATGAAGTCATTGAAAATCGGAGTGAGACATGTTAATACGTCCAGACTATCTGGTTGGAGTCCACGTGATTATCGTAACTAGTGGTTAGATACTTTCAATGACATGGCTCAAAATCGTTTGTAATGGCACAAGTGCATCCATTCTTTGTCGTCCTCCGAATTCTGAAATCCTGGATTCCCCATAACTTTTTTTGCTTTTATTTCGTTAATTTATACTTTCTTTTTGAGTCGTATCTTTGATGCCCAATCTTTCCTACCACCTCAACTATTCTGGGACTTATCCTGATAACTTCATCTTTCTGTACCGATGTACATAAGTACAGGGTACATCCTACCTGTAGTATTAGTTCGTTATTTCTGTAGTATCACTTAAAAGATATATCACGAAAGCTAACAAATTGGCACGAGTTATGACTCAGATTTCTGGACTTGATTTTCTACTAATCCATTACCGGTTCAAACTTCATCCAACCTACTACTATTCGGGTAACCTATTTGCGTTGTTAACTAAATATGTCCTCTAGCATGTTAATCGAGCCTACTGGTAATTGTTCAATTGACTGTGATAGTGATTTATTCGGTAAGGAAAATTGCAGTCAATATTTTTTGCGCTGGTGTTAAATTGTATGATTGAATTATGCAAACCAGTGGATATTACTTTACATGGTTGGTGAAATCGAAATAAATGAAATGAGCTTTAAATCTGTAATTCATTAGTTAAAGATTTTGTGCTTTAATCGCTAAATCACAATCTCACTACAGGATTTTCAACGTTACAAGTTCAAGAAGCTTGGTGATGAGGTTGGAAATTCCACTTTGGGCATCATTTCACTAAAGATTACGGGTACACCTTAGTGGTGAATGCAAACTGGTATGAAACCTAGACCCCGTAGACTATCAACACAAGTTCTCAATAGTCATTGATATATATATATATATATATATATATATATATATATATATATATATATATATTTATGTATAATTGGAATTTAATGTATCAGTTAGAATTCTAATATTGTTTGCGTAAAACGCATCTGTAAAATAATAATCTAGACAAACTAATGATCTAAAGTTTATTTTATTTATTTATTTTAACACATAGATATCGGTACAAGAAGGTACCAAATACATATGCGCCACACAGATCTCATTGGATATGTGTGAGGGCTGTGATACTGCTCGGGTGCCCAAACCGAAGCAGGTGGTTTTCCTAGGGGTCCACACGCCGAGCCTTTGACCTGAAGATCTGATCCACAAGGCAGTGGAGCATCGTGAGGAGATGCAGTCCCATGGTAGCCGGTGACCAACGATTGGTTCATACGCCATTTGTTCCCTCCGGATACTGGAGCCCATGTGCACCATTGGTTTGGGATCCGGTTAAAGCGCCGGACATTCGCTTTTCGTCCTCATTTTCGTAAACAACAGTAATGCCACGAGAAGGCAGTGAGTAGAACTTCCCTGGCAGAGGCTGCATGCGCGTGGCCATGTGAGACCATTTGGAGAGGGAGAGCGGACTCTCCCCACTCTCGGCCGTACCAGGGCATTTGGGGGCGATGATCTAATGGGTTTTTAATGATCTTACTTTATCCGTTACGTATACATTTTGAATCAGTACAATTTTAAAAGTATTCATAAATTTTCATGCGTATTTAAATTTTACGATTGTCGGTCTGTTGTTCAACACTCGAAATGTTTACTATTTTGTTAAGCAGTTTTGTAACATTGAATGCTTTCCTAATATACATCACTAGTTCAGACTAATTGTTTTATCTTAAGGAGCGAACTACGGGAGATACTGGTTTTCATCACCTCAAAATATATTTCTAATAAATATTATCTCATGAGTATTGTCTTGTAAGAAACCTAACATAAAACCTATTTACCATGTGCGTATTCGTGTACTATTTGGCTTTGAGCCAAGTTCTAACTGGGAAGGCTAGTGTTACTATCGTCTTGCCTAGACTAAAGTATGTGGGTCAGTGTCCGAACCTGTCATTTAGTGGCTGAAAGTTGAATTTGTTAACTATCATTTCGCTCTCCTGTAAGTAGTCACTAAATAGTTGTGTGAATCTTTCAACGCAACCCAAAACCTTCCGATCTCTTAGTTGAGACACTGCTAACGCGGATTTTCCACTTTCATTCTGTGCTATCACCTATCCATTATTATGTAGGTATTATTATTGAATCGCTCTTACAAGGAACATATACCTAACTGTATCTGTGTAGCCATTTAATTCAGAGTTAACAATAAATTCTCTTCAATGAAATAGAAGTGTGGTTCTCTGTCCATCACTGTCTTCACTTTGTTTACTCATTAGGGATAACCTTATTACTGTTTTTTTAACCTTTGGAATTTTTCGCGATATACATTTTTTTGATTTATTTCTCCTACATTATCTTCACAAATATTTTGTTGTACTGATGGGTCAAAAGTTTGGATTTAAAACAACTACAAACGGAACAAGTAAAATTTAGTCTTCAATTGTTTATTTCTGAATAGTAAATTACTATAATTGTTATATGAATATCTAGTAACTGTAGTTTAGTCGAAAAAGAAAATGTGAGTTACATATATCAAACGGAAATTAGACGATGGGAAACCCTGGATATTGGTTTCATATTATTTGACAGTCGTGAGCAAGGTGTACCTGTAATCTTGGGGAAACTGATGCTCTTTGTCGGATTCGATTCAGTGTTATTTGATCGATAGGACTTATTTGGCGCTAACAAGGATTCGATGTACATAGTACTGGTCACTACTCACTAACTAATCAATTGTAAGTAGTGAGATAAACGCAAACAATTGAATAATTACGAAAAACGGTTGTATGTACTTATCAGTCGTAGTGTAAATCTACGACCCTATCATGTGGAATCGAATCCAGGTCCTTCAATCTCGCGTGCGAACGCTGAACGCCTAGACCACTGATCCGAGATCCGATGTTGTATCTAACTTTAATCAAATGGTAATATTGTATAACCATCTTATTCTGTCTTAGGTGGGTAACTGCCACCCACTCGACGCGTTTGGACTCCATTGTCCGCTGTTTATCATTAGAATTACAGAAATTAGTCATTGCAAACCTTTATGCTGATAACTCGGAATAAATTACGTTATTATTATCTGGTCCTATTGTTATTTTTTTTAAATAAACAGCATTAGATGAATTGATTACGGGTGATCAATGTCGAGCAGCATGTGAATTATTTCGTTTAGCTATATGGAAAGATCCTAATATATTGATGAATTTGTTCACTGATCCAAGACGTTTATTGCACAAATTAAGTACAGTTAAAACACCATATGTAAAAGCATGTGAATTTTACGATGTTGAAGCATCTCGTGCAAAATTAGTAAGTATTTTCTGTGTTCTAAACTGACAAATTTTCTTTATATTATTTTATGCTTTTAACCAAATATCAGAGTGTCTTTCAATTTCCCCCCTCCCCTATTACCTACTTCAATGAATTTTGTCAATCCAAGAAGAAATCGTTTTATTTATTATTTAATTTTACAATCAGGGTATAACGAAAATATTTTTAGTAGGTTTTCAGCTACATTCACTTTATGTGTGTATTTTTTTGACAATTGCCATATGTATATTGATTATGAAATGAGCATACATAAGTAGATATGATCTTTTTTCGTTATTTGTGAAATATGGAACTTTAAGTTTAGCAAATGGTAGTGGGTCGTGTTACACACTAGCAAGCGTTATGATCAACACACTAAAGTATACACTTTATCAGTGCGAAAAAAGTGACCATTTAATTATAGTATTCGCTGCAATAATACGATTCTTTGATTATAGCATTTAGTATTAACTAGTGAGATATTAATCACTCCTGTGAAACCGTTAATCAGTTGCAAGCAACATCGAACTTGGAATATGTGAATTAGTTCATGTTTCTATATCACATCATGAACACGGAAAGATGAAATTGTGAAGATGAATACCAAATTAGTGGAAGTAGTAGTATCAATGACGATAGCAGATCGTTAAAGATAAAGAACATGTATCAAGTGTTATCTCCCGTTGAGAATAATTAATGGTAACTGTTGGAATCTATTTCTGGACTAATACTATGCGTATATTTTTATTGTATAATTGTTAAGTAACTAAACCACTTATATTCGTGTTCCTCTTATTATAAGCTTTATTTTTATTATTATACCCTTTACCATTCTTGAGTTATGCTCAGTCTATCAATTACTATCTTCCACATTCACAGACACATCTTTTATAAATGTTGTTTCCTATTTTATTGTACTATGTGGTCTTGTTAGTTTGTATATAAACCCAGTATGTTCTGGACTTAACAGGCAGGGCTAGGCGGGAAGCTGGACCGATAAAGACTCTAGACTGCTCGTACGGGTTTTATGCGTCATTAGTCCGATCAATAAATCACTGTTCTCTAATTGGTGGTATCGTTACGTTATACATAAATAGGGCACAAAACCACAAGTTATAACATCAAGTAGAAAGAATGAATTCGTGGAATAGTGGTAAGATAATTTTTTAGCTTAGGGTCTAAGGGAAGGGGTGGGATAATTACTTTTGTACCGTTGCGACCGATTTTGAATCATTTTATGTGATACTTCTAAGCATTAGTTACAATAATCATGTGGACTACGTCCAGATAGTTTGTACTTACTAGCACAGTTCAATCCAACAGTCGATGACTTCACGGGCTAATTCCACTACTATTCCAACAACTTGCTACACGTCAGTTAAGAGGTTGTTATGGATGAGTGATACATGTCACGCCTGCCTTACATTCCATGAAGATTCACAATCTCATCAGCTGTCTGACAATTTTTGTCTAGTACGCTATTTCTAACCTCAACATTGCTCACTTAATGGTCATGACTTACGGAAGCAATGTTTTGAAGACTGCTTTGATCAAGTTATGCTCGAAAGATACAGTGGACGAGGAACTATCCAACATGACAGATATTCCTGGAAAACGACTATCCGCTCATTTTTCATGAGCGAATCATGAAACGCAAATTAAAATCTGAAAGACCTCATATAGTTCCTAGGAAAACTCCATGAACATTGAGTTCAAGGGGAAACTTAAAAGATTTGTCACACGAAGTCCTTGAGGAAAACCTTTAATGCGTCCAGGCTTTACGTCTTGCTTTCCAAATCTCTCATCATTCGTGAATGTGTCAAAAGCAAACACTTTCTACAAGAGTCTCCGAACATCATCATGTATGGCTTTCGGAAGGTGAATGTAAATCAGTCAACAGTTCAATACTAGAAAATATTATGAACTCTGGTCAGACGAGCTCATGTGATAAGTCCTTTAAAATCATCTGTACAGTCAGAAGACTTGGTTCAAAAGGAGCACAAATTAATAGCATATGCACTAAAGAGGCACTAGCAACCATCCATCTTTTCAAACCTAAACTCTGTGAATGAGGTACGTGCAAGCCACCGTTTCACAAACGGTAATTTGATTTTATTACATCCTTCTAATGTTTTTATTCTCAATTTTATAATCAAAGATGGATAGTGGTAGTGGAATCCAGGACTCACGTTTGGTCCTGTTCGGGACTCGTCGGCTGAACGTACCTTTATCTCAGAGCTGATATTCACTCCGGGACTCGAACTCAGCACCGTTCACTTCAATTGCCATCTCGTTATCCACTTAGCTACTGAGTCCTTATAGCCACTAGCTTATGCAATGGGGTGAAGTTTAATTTCATTTTATGTTGTTTGTTTGAATCTCCCCATTGATGTTTAAGACTGCAATTGATCAGTCTCTTGCTTTTAATTAATTATTATTATCACCTTTGCGTTTTTATTTTATTCTTCATGCTCCTCATGCTCGTCAAGACAACAGTTATCTTTCTCACATTCAATTTCATCTTATTATCTCTCTTTAATTCTCGATTAATTAGCAACATTCTTTGGTACATGATATGACGGAATCGTCCTTTTATTTTTCAATAGACTTTGTTATTTGTAAATTAACTATGAATACGATTGTATAGCTTCAGTAAACCATATCGTCGAGAAGGAAATTTTCATCATTGAATAGTCTGTAGTTTTTCGATGATACTATGGGTTACTTTCGTTATATTAAATACTAGTAACTTAGAAATATACTCTACTTTTAAAAATTATGTTTCGCATTCGAAGTGATGTGTACTCATTAAAGAATTGTAGGTATATATGTTCAACTTTGCATCACACTTTATATGAAGTTTAGTGATATCCTACTCGGCTACCACAGCTAAAGTGATTCAGGGTTGAAACCTGGAACATGTTTGATTGAAAACCAAGTGCCCAAACTACTTTTGGTGGATTTTCGTTATCTGAGCTGGATGGTTTGGTCGTAGAGCTTTCAAGTAGAAAAAGCCAACAAATGGATCATCCTAATATATATATATAAAAGACATCAGAAATCACGAGATTATTCCAGCTGTTTGGAAAAGGTGTAGCACACGAACCAACAAAGTCGTTTTAATCAATCCTATGCAAATCAAAGGGAAAATGACAAAAGAATAAAAACTGAACATCATCTGCCAAATAAACCGTTCTAGTTGCAGAAAACTCTATATCGGACAATGTGGATGCTTCCTTCATCTTCGACTGCACAAACATCAGTTAGTGTTCAAAGGCCATGACACATATAGTCACTTATATTAATACAGAGGGAAGTATAAATCTTAGTGTATAAACTAAATTTCTTTCTTTTTTAATGATCGATGTTTTTGCCTGTTTATCTGTTTTTCTTTTCAGCTGTGCAACTGTTTAGGTTTATCATTGAACTGGATAATTATGCGTGATAATGATATGAAGCTAGATATCAATAGTATTATGCAAATTAGTTTAACTCTGTTAAATCATGATGTTGAAAATCATTTATCCAAAGAGATTATGGGATCCGCTTCCACACCGTCAACAGTACTAACACCTAATTCTTTACCAAATTTATTGCCAGAACATAAACTGGTCGGTTTAGCACTAGCTCATAATATTTCCTTATATCCAACGGTGAGTTGTGTTTTTTTAATTAAGATCACGAACTGATCTATATATATATATATATATATATATATATATATATATATATATATATATATATATATATATATATATATATATATATATATATATATATATATATATATATATATAGTTTAAGATTAATCAGATTATAGGGAAGATACCTCCGCATTCTGTTGATAATCAAACTATTGGATTTTTTTTCTGTGTATTTCCGTTCAGTGAAACTACCAGCCTGAATAATTGTGAACAGTTGTATAGGACCTAAGTTGTTACACGTTAAGTCATTGAAACGAATGAGAATAAATATAACTTCTAGCAAAAATATAACGTCAGAATAATAATATCAGTGGTGTAGTGAGAAAAATTTGAGTGAACAGTACAGAATAAAATAAACAACTATCCAAGTGTTGGGGATGCTAGATTCCTAGAAATCATTTGGTAAACATCTCGTTTTTATAATTTTATTTTGAAAATTTAAACTTCTCATTTCCGCGCCAAAACACCCTTTTTTACCTTCAGTTTATATTTTTCACTTGGAAGGACTTTAAATATCATTGCTTCGTTAGTTTATAGATCATTACCTAGAACTTCGAACTTTTTGTTCGACTTCAGAACAGGTTAAGGCAACTTAAATCGCTACCTTTATTTACTTATTACGCGTGGCATATTTCAAATAAGTTAGTGTACTTGAATTATCTTTTTTATTCATAATATGTGATATCGTAGTTGTTGGTTAGAAACTTTAAAAGATATGACTCAAAATCGTTTGGAACGGCGCAAGTACATACATTTTTTGTCTTCCTCCAAATTCTGAGATCTTAGATTCCTCATAACTTGTATTGCTTTTTTTCATTAATTTATATTTCATTTTTGAGTCGTATATTAGATGCCCAATATTTCCTATTAAATTTGATTCTGTCGCTACATCAACTATTCTGGGACTTATCCTGATAACTTCATCTTTCTGTACGATTGGGGTATGGCAACCTGAACTGATGTACATACGTACAGGTTCTACGTTGCGACTGACTGACTCTTAGTTACTGGCTGTTACAACTTATCATTATGAACTGATGTCATTTAATGTAAAACCAAGGAGCCCAATAGACAGTTGGTTCGATATAATCATTCTGAGATGAGAACATACTTCATATTGTGAAGTGATTGTTACAATATCTCCCCAAACCAAATTAATAGATGTATGCTTGCTAAAATGTCCGCAACAATTCTTGTAGGAGGTCTTAACTAATAAAATGAATGCATATCAGGAGTAAAACTCATCACCAATGACTTTGTGAATGACAATCACTCGTCATAAACTAGAGTTGAAAATATGAATCACTCACTTGAATAGTAACATGGACATGAGACGGCCTGAATGTCTTCGTTTTTGTTGTCGATTGTTTAATTGCTTTCACTAATGAAGAGTTTCAAGCTAGAATAAAGCATCTATCTAGTGTTTTTACTATTTTGTTTTAAAAAATTAATTTGTAGTCAGCATCAGTAGTCCATCTTGAGAACTCTATCTCTACATACACTGGACCGATTTTCACAATTATCCTCCTTTTTATCTAAATTATTAATTAAATAATTGGTTTCCAATGTTTTTTTTATTTTGTTCATGTCAATGTCAATTTGGATGGCTATGATAGCTCAGTGAAAATGAAGCGTTAGAATTGGGAAGTTACTTGTTACATCTAGCTGTAACAAGTGAAAAATCATTTAAATATCCAATCGATAGTAAGTTAACGATTTTCTGCTTTTTTGAACGTGAGGGTTAGTTTCTTTTAAATTAAACATAGATTCTAAATTGAAGTGGAACCTATAACTTAATGGTTAAGGTGTTCAGCTTTCAATCACTAAGTAAGTCCCCACCCCACCTAACTCGGGCCCGAGCAACCCGGTGCAGTAGCAACTAGTTGTCATCACACCTAGAGTGTGGTTCATATTCAAGTACCTAGTAAACGAGTTAAATACTGAATCTTATTTTAACTTGGTATAATATACTGTAAAATTAATAAAATATTATTGACAATTATAAACTTTATACTGTTCTTGTTCTGGCATGGCAATACTATTGTAATCTATATAAAGCCTGGGAGAAATATACCACTGAGCCGGCTCAGTGGTCTGGTTGGTTAAGCGCCTGGCGCGAGACTGATAGGTCCTGGTTTCGAATCCCGCGGGGGACGGGATCGTGGATGCGTACTGCTGAGGAGTCCCATACTAGGACGAAATGGCCGTCCAGTGCTTACAGGTTTTCCATGGTGGTCTAGCTTCAATTGATTTATGATTTCAACTATTGAAGTTACCAATTCTCCACAAAACCACTTCTAGTAATAATACTCTTAGAACCAGTCACTTCTATCCCTATTGTAATCAATCACTTATTATGATTATTAAAAACCCGATTTTTCCCTATTTAAATTTCCTTCTGTTTTTATTTATTTGAACGAAACATTCTAGCAATTTATTTACTTCGTACAATCTACTTCTTAGCAGTTCGATTTTCAAGTCTTGCTGACTTAGCCAAATGTTATGATATTGAAACACTTCTTCATAAACTCATTAATGAAAGATACTACTCAAATCATAATGTAATCCCGTCGTCGTCATCATTAAACTCGTCAACTGTTCCAAACGAACACAAACAGCAGGGTGACTACAAAACTAGTTTACCTCAGACCACAAGAACAAGCAATCCTTTTCAACCTTCAAAGAATATAGATAGTAGTATTGAATCAGATTCATTGACAACTTTCGACTACTTGATCGCTTCAAAACTGCTGAATTTCTTATCAAGTAATTGTGAATCAGATGAGATATAACAAAGCGCCAATAATTTTTGAATAATTTCAAAGAGAATATACTATTCTTGTTAATTTTAGGAAGTGACTTTTTATTTGTATCATTTTCAATACCATCAGCACCATCATCATCATTACTGTCATTGTTATTACTTGAAAGTGATTTACGTTTTTTCTTCCACCGATTAATTTTCAATTTTCATTCTACTTTTTGTTCCCTTCTCAACGTCAATTAGTTTAACCCTCGTCTAATATTCATATTGCTCATTTTCTTTAATGACATTGAGAATATTATATTTTACTATTGAAAATAGACGGCTTTTTTCTTACATTTCTTCTTATTTATCGTTATATTTAATTGTTTCATTTTGTGTGTATGTGTGGTTTTATCATTGGTTGTATTAGTGATATCGATGCCGAATCGTTGTCGACATAATGCAGTTGACTTGGTCTTTTTCACAAAATATTTGGTTTATATGAGTATAAGTGGTTTATAAATTAGGAGACACCGTACAGCTGTTTTGTCGTAGTATGTTAATCCTCAGCCATATATATCCGTGACCCCTCTGCCGATAATGGAAGCTAGGACTTTCAGATCTCGCGATGAATGACTAACATTTAGTTTACCAAGTCAACATACAGTGGTTTGTATTCTTAATTTCGATGCCTGGTGTGGTTGTGAGTGTCTACTGCTGACGATTTCACAATATTTCAGTTTTTTAGAATCAACACTAATTATATTGAGATATGGCGTTTAAAATTGTATGTATGTATGGACGTATGATGAATACGATGTTAGAACAGCTATCCGCGATAATAATATTTGTAAAGACACTTCATATCGACAACTTTGAGGGACTTATTAGCCAATCAAGAAGCGTCAGTTACGTAAAAATTGTTTGATAAACAGTTTTCACATAATTAATGAATATTCACATTATTGGATTATTTATGATTGTGAACGGAAAAGGGTTGGGATTTTTGGCATTCGAAGTCGGAGTAGAGTTATGAGACTGGGTTAGGAGTGTTAGAGTTAGGTGTATAGGTTAGGGTGGAAGAATACTTTTTATCTACAAAGTATCCTTTACTTTACGCTCACAGATACAATCTGTACTAGAATAAGTTATTCTTTATAACGTAACTTAACCACCATCTTGCATTTATTGTATGGTTGAATAAAAGATATTTTATTGTTTTAAGAACTAGATATTGGTAGTTTTCAATAAGTTACTAGTCCCCCACCATTAAGTTTTGAATTTTGCGCAACAACTCGAAGCCATTTTAAATCTGGTTGACTCGTGAATATAGCACATTTTTGTCAAAATATCTTCACCAAAGCATAGTAATAATTAATAGATTAACCTTAATTCAAGTTGTTAGATATCACTATAACTGTATCCTAAAAGGAACGAATGTTGTTTACAACAAAATACACAAAACAAATGGATACACTGTTTCAAAACTTTGCTCTTGCTTCAAGCACCCTAACGTTACAAACTTTAAAGTTACTATAGATACAATTCTACTTTAATTCTAACTTTAAGAATGTAGTTTTATGAGGTAGTATTATTTAAATTAATACATACAGTATTGATGTCACCGAACGAATATGTAAAATACACAGTATTAATTCCGTAGATATTCTACATCGAAAACAATACATTTACAATCACTTTATATTTATGAATAACTTTCAGTGTCTAATTTCTTATTATGTTAAACATATTTATCGTAAAAGATGTTATGCTATAAGTTATGTTTTATGTAGAGTAAACATTCTAAATCTGATTGATAAATCCAAGTGACCAGTATTTATCGATTTGGGGTTGTGCAGTTTGTTGAACTATATTGAAATCATGAACCGAGCTAAGCTAGACTACTATTGAAAACCTGGAAGTATTGGACTTCCGTTTCGTCTTAGTGTGGGACTCCTTAGCATTGCACACCCACAAATTCACATGTGGGGATCGGACATAGGATCAGTCACGCGCGCAAACTCCAGGCCACTGAATAGAGATCTAACGATGTCTATATCTAACATACTGATATAGAATGCCTAGTGATTCTAGAACAAGTGAAATGACCTAACTTTTCATTTTACAAACCCGGATATATATTATAATGCTGCATGGCCAGACGGATCACATGTCTTCATAATGGTAAATAGGAGATGTAAATACAAGGGCCTAATGTAAATGAGTTTGTTAGGCGTCTGGACTAAATCGTTCCTCATGTAACTCAGTTATCATATAATAGGTATGATTTATACATTCACTCTTAACAACATAGCCACCCACTTCTCTTAGTCCTGTTTCTCTCGCATAATTAGGCGTTTAGGAAATGTTAAGTCGCTAAATCAAATTGTCGGAGAGAATGTATGACTCAATACGAGGATTTCCGTATTATGCTTAAATGGTCCGTATCAGAGGACGCCATACCACTACATCGCCTGCCAACATAGTCGGTGTTTGAACATACTTAACATATATCCCAACCAACGCAGTTGATGACGATTCACTACCTCGTCAATCGGTCTGTCATATTCACCCTGTGCCCAATATCGGCATTGCTCACTCGGTAGTCCCAAAATACACGAGCGATGCTTTGAAGACGCTTGTTATAGAATACTAGTAACCTAAGAATAACCTCTATTCTCGATATCCATGTTTCACGCTCATGGAGTACAGCAAAGTGCACTGTTGTCCATCATTTTATTGCAGTCGCATGCTCCACGATATTCGCGAATTGCCAAAGGTCTATCAAGCTTTATAAATCCGCGTCCAGATTTCGTCAAGACTGATAAGAGGAACTCCAATTGTATTCTAAAATATCTGGGTTATATCAGTTGTCTTAAATAGTTTAGTATACTGAAGCAAACCTTGATATATAATAAATGTCTCTTACAATGTTCTACTCTTGTCTGCGATATTTTTCTCAGGATGTTATATCTCAAAGGCCGCCGATTAGAGGGCAGTGACTTATTGATCGGATCAAGGGATTCAGAAACTCGATAGGCTATTCTGTTTGTTGTCCTCGACTCAGCTAACTCGATCAAGAAGTCTCAGTAAGACGTAGAAAGTGTATTCTACAGGCAACCTGCAGATACCAGATCAATCAGGCACACAAATTAAGCGTATTTATACAAATACATAAAATCGATCTTCTCATATAAATTTTTGAACCTTCATCAATAAGTTAGTCAATTGAATGCTATTCAAGTGATTAAACATTTAATCGATAAGTTCGTCAATTGACTATCATTCAAATAATTAAACATTCAATCAATAAGATAAAATTACAAATAAGAATTTTTTGGGGGATCTATCGTCCCCAACAATGTACGCGTGAAAAATCTCTTATAAAAAAACAAAGTAAACAAGTTAATTAGAATGAATAATTGTTCTAGATTTCATGACAGATTCCGTGTGATATTGGTTAGCTAAATTAAATAATCACTCTATATATAAAATTAGTCTACTATGTTAACGAACACGTTCTGTTGAACACTTTTTGAGCATAATAAAGCATTCAGTCACTGTGTAATGTTAACAACATGTTATTAAAGCTTAACTCTAAGATTTATTAATAAATCAAATTCATTGTTTTTGAGCAACATATCATTCAGGCGGATTGTTTTATTTGTAAGGTCATCAACTTCTTGCTAAATTTTCTAGCTGATGTTATCTTGAACATTTTCTTTATTCAGTAAGTGTGTTGTATCTAGCAATTTTAGACATATTCTCATTCGGTGAGTGTTGAATATTTAGGTGTAATTTTCATTTCAAGAGTTTAGGATTATTAGTACCTGTCTAGTATGAACATGGAAATTTCGTGCACGGCAGCACACCGTATATATACATAAATTAGTTAAAGTCTTGACGTATTTAGTGATAAATTACACTAATACACGAAATTCATCCACTAAATCAACATAAGACTGTTAGGTCCCGATAAGCATAATGAATGGTACCTTTTGGGATCCATCTATAGACCAATACTATGCGGATATTTTTATCGTATAATTGTTAAATAACCAAACTATTCATATTCATGTCCCTCTTATTATGAGCTTTATTTTGACCTATGAACTATTATTATACGATTTACCATTCTTGAATTATTCCCTGTCCATTAATTACTACCTCCCACATTCACAACCACATTTAGCCAAATCTTGTATAAATGTTGTTTCCTATTTTATTGATACGATGTGGTCTGTTTGATTGGTATATAAAGCGAGTATGTTTGAAATAAATGATTCATATTGCAGAGGCTGAGATTGGTGTTCTGGACTTAACTGGCTGTGCTAGGCAGAAAGCAGGACCAATAAGTACTCTAGACTGCTCATACCGGTTTAGGTGTTATTGATCCGATTGATAATTCACTGCTCCCTAATTGGCGGTATCATTACGTATACATTATCAGGGCACTCAGGTCATGAGTTATAACAAAGAGAATACTCGAAAGTTCTGAATACAACACGCTTATTCAACGTTGAAAACGTTCCGGATAAACTTGGCCACTTTTTTTCGTTTCTATATATTAAAATTTACACATAAAATTGAATATTATTTCACATTTCACAAACATCAACAAAAAAAAATATGTGAATACAAGAAAAACAAATAAAATGATTGTAAACATTTAAACATAACACAAAAATATTTATTGACATTTCATTTTCATTTAGTAGAAGAGGACAGTGAATTATGATGATAATGAAGGTGATGATGATGACGACGAAATGTATGTGTGTTTAATTTTGTAATGTTAAAAAATAATATTGCAAAAAAGAAAGTCAGTTAAAATGATCAAATCATTTGAGATGCTTGTGACAGTTTTTTTTCCCTCTCTATGTCTCTCACACACACACACACTTTTTTAAAGTTATGAAAAACCTTATATGAACTAATTGATTAGTGACAGAAACAAAATGACATTTATTGAACTCCTGAATATGATTAATTAATATTTGTTTAAATTTAGTTTTTGTTATGTTCAATAATGTTGAATAATTATTGAAATGGTTACATCTAAAATAAACAATTCACAACATACATAAATAGATGGGGACATTTTATGTAAGTAAATAATATATCTAGGAAATTCATAACGTTACATATTCTTCATTTATGTTGTAAGCATGTAAGCAGCATTTGTTTAGATAGTCAATAAATTGAATATGAACAACAACAATAATAATAATAGAATTTATGTAATTGAACAAAATAATCAACATTACACACATGTAGACATGTAATTAAAATGTAATAGGAATGAATAGTGTTATTAACTACAAGCACATCCTAAAACAATTAAATTATGTAAAGTATGCATTTGTAATTCTCGATTTGAATCCAAGTATAAAACAGACATACTAGTTAATTGAGTTGGATGACAACAAGATTGTACTTCATCACGTTGAACATTTCCAAATTGTGATAAATTCTTACGTAATAATAAATCCATAACATCATAGTGTAGACTTTTTGTTGATGTGACTAGAAAATGAAAAAAAAAGACGTACGTCTGTGATAAAAAATCAAATGATAAATAAGATACAAGAATTACTTTTTAAATTTTTTTGAAAATAAAATAATTCATATCAAAATGGTTTTGTGGATATTATAGTAATTTCAATGGTTGAGATCATGAGTCAATGAAAGCTAGACCACCATGGAAACCTGGAAGCACTGGATGATGGTTTTGTCCTTTTATGGGACTCGTCAGCAGTGGCGATCCAGAACCTTACCTCGCGAGATTCGAACCTAGGGTCTATCAATCTCGTGCGCAAGAGCTCAACTTAAAAACCAGCCGGTATCCAACGGTGTTAATGTCTGAATTCAACTCATCCACGAAATTGAGCGACACATCCGCCAATATCTTCAGTGAGTTACTATCTTACAACAGACTCGGCTGAACTCCACTGGTCACTGCTTCCCACTAGAACTCTAGTTTCAATTGACTCATAATATCAACCATTGAAATTACTATAATATCAACAAAACTCTTCTGATATGAATCAACATATGCTCACTAGTGACTGGTTTCAAGAGGTATTTCCTGGAGTTCGAGTGAGAAGCAGTGAACAGTGGATTTCAACCGGGTCTGCTGTGAGATAGTAACTCACTGATGACAATAGTGGATGTGTCGCTCAATTTTGTGGATTGGTTGAGGTTAGACATTCGCACCGTTGGATGCCGGTCGGTTTTTAGGTTAAGCGCTCGCGCGCGAGACTAAGAAGTACTAGGTTCGAATCTCGCGAAGCGAGGTTCTGGACTCCCACTTCTGACGAGTCCCATAATAGCACGAAACGGCCTTCCAGTGCCTCCGGGTTTTTCATGGTGGTCTAGCTTCAATCGACTCATGATCTCAACCATTTAAATAAAATAATTGCTTAGACTAAACAAATTATTAGGTATAGGACTATTGGTTGGCAATGAACACTAATGCAATAATCAGTAATTTGTATTCCTACTATTCCCTAAAATCTATTAAAAAGATTAATAACAATCAGATTTTATGTTTGCATTCATTGAAAATAAGAAAAGAGGACTACTGTTTGAATATTGGGGACTATGTTCTTATAATCTCTTAGAAAATTCAAAATTCGAGTACTTTTCTTGTAAAATAGAATCAAGCTATAAAGCGTTAGAAGTACTTAACACGGAACATCTTAATGAATTCAGCATGAAAATCTCTTCATATCTTTGACGGTGAATCGATCAATTAACTAATAATACAAATTGCTAATATCCTCAATATTTATCTGCTCGAGTAACTGAGAAAATGTGGATCTGAAAATTTCATCTGGAACTACGACTAAAGATGATTCCGTTTAGAGACGTATTAGTATTTTTAGAAGATCATAGCCCTTAAAAAAACTTATTGGCTATCAATATGCAGGATCTTGATGTTTGGAGTGGTAAATACAAAGTTTAGATCTCAGTGTGAACCTTGAGATCGATATGCAGGTAGGCCCAGCTGATGAAATATAAATAAACTAAAACGCACGTCTAAAGTTACATTACTGATCTAAGAAAAATCTTGTTTAACATTAATACACAACTGAAAATTATAATAACCTACCTTTGCAGGATCCTCGACAATAATTCGGTTCAAAACTTTTTGGGTGTATAATCCAATTATCCCAACCAATATCAGAAAATTTAACAGATAATGGTTGTGTACAACAACTATAATGGTGTCCATTAGAACGACATACATTGTATATTGTCTCATCTCCCTTAGTTAATGAACGCCTCTGTCTTTTTAAGCGTGGACGATATTTAATTTCCATAACAACCTTATATACATAGAAATATTAAAATAGAAATATAACTTGATAAATCATTTATGTAATTGAAAATGAATATGAGGTTATTGGTATAGGAAATTTTCACAGTTTAAACCACGAAATAATTTTAGCCAGACCACCATTTAAGCACCTGTGGTTTTTGACGTAGTATCATAGAGGTTAAGCTTATATGATCGAGGCTAAAGGTCCTGTTTGCGATTCTCGGACCCAGGGTTGTGAATGAGCGCTGATGAGTAGTCCCATTCTAGTACGAAACGGCCATTTTGTGCTTCCAGGTTTCCAAATGTGGTTTATCTAAAATCAATTCATGTTTTAAACTATGATTAAACATACTGATGGTTAAGGGGAGTATGTACGTTTTAGGTTCAATATAGTTCCAAACGATAAGGGACTTATTTCAGTTTGTGCAGAAGCAATCATCACATTGTATTAATTTACTTAAAAAATTTTAATTTTCAAAATCCTATGATAATGCTATATGCAAAATATTATAGTCTAAGATCAATCTATAGTTAGGATAACTTAACTTCGTTCCACAAAACATTACATTTACCCCTTTTTAAGACACAGTAAACTTTTTAAGTTCTCCCACAAATTATAGATGTATATTCGTGAAATATTTTTAAGTTCAATGGTTATCGATATCGGTTCTCTCTTTACGACTGCCACTTAAGCGGTATTATTTTGTGACAAAAACTAAGGTGATGTCAAATAACTGAAAGGGGATTAAACTAGTTAACACTCACCAATACAATTTTTAGAAAAATGACCATCATTGTGAAGTGCAAACCTGCTTCCACGTTTTCCATGGTGGTCTAGCTTAGATTGACTCATTAATTCAAATACTAAAATTACTATAACATCCACAAAACCCTTCGCTAATTATAAAATACAGAAAGGTTAAGGTTATTATAACATCTGAAATTCAGCAGCTTAATACAGGTCAACTTCGAAACCTTTATCAATAGCATTCTTGCGATTTATTATAATAATTCAACGTAAAGATTAAAAGAACGCCGGTAGATCACTTATATTATCAACCATCATACAATTTTATTGATTCAACGCAGTCAACACTAAGAATCCGACAAACATGAAATTGATAAGTTTAGAAAACAAATATGAATGGTAACTAGTAGTGGAATCCATAACATGCGTTTCGTCCTATTTGGGACTCTTCATTTGAATATACCTGCATCTCAGAGTTGGTGTTCACTCTGAGATTTAGGATGCATATATACCAATAAGAGGCTGATCAATTACTGTTATAAACATCAATCGAAAATTTCAAACAATATAAAAATGAAGAATATTTGAGCGAACAGCTATTTTCAATAACTTCATCATCAGGCCCTACAATTATAAGTCCATAATTATAATATTTTACAAAGGCCAAAATAAAGCATGCATTAATGAATTTGACAATGTTATATGTTAAAAATGGTGAACGTTTGCATCTGTTACAATATATATATATATAAAAATGATTCATTTAGTGTTGTTTTACTTCTATCTTCTGATTGTTATTTAACACTGAAATTGATCAGTCTTATGTTAGCATATGTACATCTTGTGCGGATCGCTTTGATATAACTTTAAATTAAAAACTTTTTTTAAAGCAAAGAATGAATAGTAGCTAGCAATCAAATCTACTTTGACACATGTTTCATCCTATTTAGGACTCATTAACTGAATGGAGTTGATATTCACTTCTCATTTCGAACGCCATAGCATTATCCACTTAGCTAATATATAATGAATTAATAATTAAATATCTTTTAATTACCTTTTTTGGATCAATAATATTTTGTTCATTATCACAATCATTACACATAATCATTAAATATCTTATTAATGGTTTATAAGCTTGAATTTTTATATTATTATATTTTAACCAATAAATCATACGATTTGTAATATTAAATGTTATCATAGATGTGAAATAATTTTGAGGTATAATAGTTTTAGCTATTTCTGGTTTAATAAATTTAAATATTCTTTGAAAATTATTTCTAGATAATTTATATGGATAATTGAATAAATTTGATGATTGAAATTTTTGATCATTTACCATTTCATTATAATCATTAATATCAGTTTGTTGTAATGATTCAGCTGTGAAATCATCATCATCATTATCATTATCATTATTATTATTATTATTATTATTATTATTATTATTATTATTATTATTGATATCATTAATCCATAAAAAATTTGGTTTAAATAATGTAGGATGAATTTCCCATAAAGTGAATATTGAATTTGGACGAATTTCACTATTGATCTATAAAAAAAAATATTATTAAAATGAATAAGAGATATTTAAAACAATTAGTCTCTTTGGTCTACATTCAATTGATTCATGATTTCAATCAGTGAAATTTTTAAAAAAAATCTCCACAAAACCCCTTCTAATCATAATCATCTGCTCACTAATGACTGACTTCAAGAGGGATTTCCTGGAATTCTAGTGAGAAGCCGTTACTAGTGGAGTTCAACCAGGTCTGTTGTGAGATATCAACTCACTGAAGACAATGGTGTACAGTGGTGCAACTTCGTAGATTATTTGAAGTTAGACATTAACACTGTCGGATGCTGGCCAGTTCAGTGGTCTAATGGTTAAGTGCTCGCGCACCAGACTGATAAATTCTGAGTTCGAATCTGGCGGTGTGGGATCGTGAATGTGCACTGCTGACGAGTCCCATAATAGGACGAAACGGCCATCCAGTACTTCCAGGTTTTTCATGGTGGTCTAGCTTCAATTGACTCATGATTTCAACCAGTGAAATTTCGATAATCCAATGAGAAGACGGAGTTTATCAGAATTATGTGATATATATTTGTGCAACACATTTCCGACAATCGGATCACACATTACATACTTGTTGAGAACACTTATATATGAAAATTAAAGGGTCAACTAGACAATTAAGGTTGGCAGACACAAATGGATTCCAATAATGGTCAAATAAGGTCACAGGATAGACAAACATCATCCTCCGTTGCGAAACATTTGATTGAGACGAGTCATAAGGTTGACGTCAAATCAGCATTTGTAGTGGTGTTATACAAAAGCCTTCAAGGATGTATACTAAGGTTTATTGAAGCCTTGGCTATACGGAAATTGAAACCCCTTTATGTGTTTAAAACTAATTTGTCCTTACACTTAACTTACCCTGGTAGAACTTATTTATAATCCAGAATAGTATTCACATTTGTTTTTCTGTTTTTTAAAATTTTCTTTTCTCTGTTATGGCTTACCTTTAACTTGTCTAGTTGACCTTTTAATTTCCATATATAAATGTTCTTAACAAGTATTTGTGTGATCAGATTATTCGAAATGTTTTGGGCAAATATATATCACATAATTCTGATAAACTTTGTCTTCTCATTGCATTATTAAAAGATATTTATTTAGGAAGTTATACCTATTTTGAGAATAAATTCACCTATAACTCTTCAAGAGTTACTGTCAGATTTCAAGTTCGGATAAGGGAGAAGGGTTGGTCATGTGATTCGCAACCTCATCCTGTAGAAAATAACCTTTCTAAAAAAAGAAAAACGTTAACCAGAATAAACAAAGTAATTTTTAAATGTAGTGATATTGTTATAACTTGTGGTCTGTGCCCTGCTAATGGATAACGTAATGATACCGCCAATTAGGGAGCAGTGAATTATCAATCGGATCAATAACACCTAAACCGGTATGAGCAGTCTAGAGTACTTATTGGTCCTGCTTTCTGCCTAGCACAGCCAGTTAAGTCCAGAACACCAATCTCAGCCTCTGCAATATGAATCATTTATTTCAAACATACTCGCTTTATATACCAATCAAACAGACCACATCGTATCAATAAAATAGGAAACAACATTTATACAAGATTTGGCTAAATGTGGTTGTGAATGTGGGAGGTAGTAATTAATGGACAGGGAATAATTCAAGAATGGTAAATCGTATAATAATAGTTCATAGGTCAAAATAAAGCTCATAATAAGAGGGACATGAATATGAATAGTTTGGTTATTTAACAATTATACGATAAAAATATCCGCATAGTATTGGTCTATAGATGGATCCCAAAAGGTACCATTCATTATGCTTATCGTGACCTAACAGATATTTATTTTTGAAGAATTGAGTTTTGAATGTTATATCCACTGTTTAATAAGATATTAGTTTGAGTTGACTGATATTATTTAACATAGAATGTATTGTGTTATGAATCTGATTGGTTGGTAATAAAATTTGTATTCAGAATTCATGCAAATGAACACTAACGAATAAAATTTAAGGAAAGCTGTTATTTCCAAAAAGATTTATTCATTTTTCACTTATTTATATAAATTATGAACTACGTCATTTCACTAATTATGCCAAACGTTTATTAAAATCAAATGAATTATTGATTATTATGAAATATCGAGATTTTCCGATGTTTATTTAATTAACTGAATTTCCAATATGGGGTTGTTGAGATCATTAAGTTTTTGACTGAGATCATGAATCGATTAATGTTAGACGACCATTGACAATCTGGAAGCATTGGATAGCTGTCTCATCCTACTACGGGACTCCCCAGTGAGCATCCATAATCGCGCTCGCAGGATTCGAACCCAGGATCTTCGGTCTCGCGCACGATACTTAACCTCTAGACCGCTGATCCGGCCGGCATCCAACGGTGTTAATGTCTAACTTCAACCGATCCACGAATTTGCGCGACCATCTTCCATTGCACCTAGGTAGATATCTATCTCTACCGGACATGGATTAGCTCCACTAATCACGGTTTCTCACTAGAACTGCGAGAATTCCCTCACGAAGCTAGCCACTGAATTTTATTAAAATGCTAGGCTTCTTGTAATTTTCAAATAAAATGTCCAGTCGTAGAACAACACGGCTACTTTTTGATAACTGTGAGATTGTGGTTTGTTTAATTACTGATTATAGTCATAAATGAACCATAAAATATAGTTTTTCTAAAAAAAATTATGTCAAAATGGAAGCCGAAAAATGTAAGTTGTGCATGAAAATGTGTTGCTTACTACTTATAAGTAGCTAGAGTATTTGATCTAAATTTTTATCCAAATAAAAACGTAATGGTCATTTGTTATTTAGTGACGTTACCTCTTCATTTTTATCATTAAAAACTTATGTACAATATTCCATACTGATATTCGTACAGAGGGAACCGAGTTTACGTTAAGAAAAAGACTTCTATGACCATATTAGGAAGCCTGAGTCAAAGTTTTTGACTTACTATAGTCGGTTATTGACATACAGCCTATATCAAGATTAATTAATAGAAGTACTTATCCAAAGAATTCAAATATGACACCAGGAAAAGTTGTGATTGTAATGAGTATGCAACTGTCAGTAATTAGAATGAAATTCTTTCACACGAAACTAGCATAAATTGATAAATGAATGAATGAATTAGTAGTAATATTCATAGTAGTACATCACAATTAGTAAAAGCTTGAATTATCCCGTTATTACTATTATTTATGAATGATACACGGAACAATCCAAAACCCTATTAGTAATGATACAGGCGACTTAAATAAGTTAGTGTACATCATGATTCAAAAGCTTAGTTGATAAGATGTTTGGTGTTTAGAATGAAAGCTATAGTCTTAATGTGAGTATCAATACATTATGATACAAATATTTACAGATAAGAAGTCTAAATTAAGACTTAAATCGCTCCCTATATTCTACTGCTAGCCACAATTTGTTTACTCAAAGAGATTAGATTGTTCTTAAAAACGATGATTTCAGGTTTACCTTATTTACAAATAAGCCTGATTTTGTTTTATAAATTAAAACGGCGTCAGAGTATGTCATTAAACACGTTAATGCTAAGAAAAAACCTAGTTAGTACATTAGGGCAGTTTCAAACTCAGAGTCTGGAGATTTATTCGTAAAGTTTTTATTGTCCTTCTGGACAAGGTTATCAGTACAAACTTCAGACAGAAGTGAGCCATTCGAATTTCTTTACATACAATAAATAACGTGTTCTATTGACGTTGATCTTGAATGGTTGTTGTTGATTCTTGTCTTATCACTTTTTGCATAGTTATTTCATTTGCAATTCCATTTAAAATGATTTTCGACCTTATAGTTGTCGGTGATTTTTCTAGTTGTTTGATGAAATTGAATCAATGTCCATACATTTATTGGTTGATGATTGATTTGCGTGCCATGTTCCAAAAAAGTCTTTGGTCTTCTAATTATTCCCTCTTTCCAATACTTCTACATTACTTCAATCAAATATGCATCTAAAATTGTTTACATGCATTGATATAACCGGGAATATATCCTGGCCTTTGAAATGCTACAGATCTTTACTATTACATCAGTGAGTCTAAAACTATATAGTACATAGTCTATCTATTTCAACTGTTATCTGTCTCGACAGTTCAACAATGATATTTTAAAATAGAGTACATCAGTCTGATATACTGAAATATTTAAATGAGATTAGTAGATCATCTAATACTAGTGTGTAGCCGTAAATACAAACACTTTAAGCCCGATTTATGTGCTGAAAAACAATATTTACTTACCATCAGAACAATATCTTCGTTTTATGATATCTTTTTTCTAACTCTTCTCCATTATTTTGAATGTATTATTTTCAGTATGTGGATTTGCGGGGATTATAGCATTTTAACAATTGAAATCACGAGTCATTCTAAGCTAGACCATCAACGAAAATCTGAAGGCACTGAAAGACCGTTTTGTCCTGGTATGGGACTCCTCAGGAGTGCGCATCCACAATCCTACATGCGGAACTCGAATCCAGGACCTTTGGACTTGCGCGCGAACGCTTATCCTCTGGGCCACTGAGCCAGTATTCGATGGTGTTGATGTTTAACTTCAATCCATCCATAACCTTGTGCAACCGTTCATCCGTTGTCTGAGGTGGATAACTGTTTCCAGCCTACACGGATCGGACCCGACTGGTCACGGCTTATCACTAGAACTCCAGGAAATCCATCTTGAATGGATGAAAGGTTACGTAAAACCATGTATCATTTTCACTTTATTTTATGTCTAATTAACATACCAAATTGTGTTATACTTCATTATTATTATTAAACTGTGTTTAGCTATTTCGTTGTGAAATTCATGACTTAACGAACTTTGATTACTTTATTTTGAATCTGAATAAGTTTACTGGTATCTTCACTGAGTTATAATGAAACTTATTCAAATATGAATAAATTAAAGATAATAAGTGTAATAGAATAAATTGGATTTACTTATTTGATTTACTTTTGTCAAACTACCTGCAATCTAGAAGTGATTTTAATAATTATTTACAATTGATCTAAATATCTTATAATAATAATAATAATAATAATAATAATAAAGATTAGTAGACAGATAGGCAACTGACGAAAATCCACAAAACAAATGAAGAATAAATCTTATTATCTTTTTATGTGACTATAATTTATGAACGAACCAATCGGATCTAAGTTAATAGGTCTTGGATTTTAGCGCGAAATTCATTCATATATTTGGTTAATTAATGTTTTGGTATTTCAGCTGATGTCAGTTCGTGATCAAAACCCTAAATCTAATTTATAATCTTAATCATCAACTGTAAATCATAATTCTAATTTCTCAAATTGTTTTATAAACTTCATTTAGTCCTAGTTATCAGGTGGACACTCTCAAAGTCACTTTAGCACTGCTCATAGGTCGTCCATAAATTATAATCTTACCATAATACGGATTGTATAAAAAAAACTGTAGTTAGCGGGAATCTTAATAGAATACAATAAATCGTTTGATTATTCTACTAAAATATTTGCTTTTATGCAATTTAATGTAAGAAATGGAATTGTATGTTGATAATCATCTCAAATGTCGTTAACTAACTATTTCATTCTTAGAAATACTTTATATATATATACAATGATCAGTATAAACTATTAACATTCCTTTAAGTGTACTACTACTATTCACAATATAAAAATATCAACAGATCCATTAAAGGTCACTTTCATTTGGGTTCATTCAAATACAGCATCATGTAAAGAAAAGAAAAAAAATAAACAAACAGATGAAATATTACTCTACTGTCAAAAATACCTATGATAGTAATAGTAACAATAATAACATTCTTCCTCAATATTTTTTCTTGTTGTTATTGATCCTTTCACACATTTTCTTCTTACTTTTGACCTCTCTCTCTTTCTCTCTTTCAATTAATTCATGCAATAATAATTGGTTTCTGTTATTGAAAGTTTTATTTTGTTTTCAATCTCTTACAGATTTTATTGATATAAATGAAGAAAAAAAACATTTAACTATTTAGTAAAAAAAAAGTAAACTAAAAAAAGTAAATAAAAAAAAACAAATGTTGTTCACTTTTCGTGTACTTTTTATTTAATATTATTTATTTATTTACTGAAATGATTAGTTATTTATTGATTTTATTCATTAGATGAATATATATTTTTAGGGAGGTGGGTCAGTAAAAATGAACCACAGAAACTAATTCCACTTATCAACAATTCACAATTATTTACTCGTAATAAGTTTATATACTTAGCATTGAGTTAAATGTTTTGTTAAATAATCAGTATAGGGGTTGTGAAGATTGTTAAGTTTTTGATTGAGATCATGAATCGATTGATGTTAGACCACCATTAAAAACCTGAAAGCACTGGATGGTCGTTTGTTCCTATTGTGGAACTCCTCAGTAGTTCTCATCTAAGATCCCGAACACAGGGCCTTCAGTCTCGCGCGCAAACGCTTAACCTACTGGAATGTGTTATTGACATATTATTAGGATTAATCAAATTGTATTATGTGGAATGAAATTGGAATTTGTAATTTTATAATTAAAATTTAAGTACTTTTTACCATTGATTATAATGAAAATAATTTTCTTAAGCAACTTGTAAGGAATTATTGTATTTGTAAGTTTTTACTTGTTGTAAATTAATCTAAGTTGTGAAACAAATGAAAAACAGGGAATATATAATATTTATTTAATTTTAGTATAGAATTATTTAATCGCGCTTACTGAAGAACTCATTCGGAATCAGCATGCTATATTGCGAATTGAACTCATAATATTCGATGCCAAACCGATGGCTTTAATGGTAAAGAATTTACTTCAAGATATGAAAGTAATATTTACAGATTTTTTGAGAGATGATTGTGAATGGACACTGTTGACTAGTCCCATTCTAGAACAAAATAGCTGTACAGAGCATTCTACTGCAACTGAAACCAGTCTGTGATGAATACAATCTAAGAGGTTAACTAATATTCACGAAATGTTTATAACTAGTATCACTGTATTTTCTTTTAAACTTTAGGCTATTTGATCTGTTCTGATATTGAGAAAAACCTTTAGATATGAGGAATCAGTGGGATATGTTCAATTTTGAAGATCGCTTTAATTACAGAATAATATCATCTAAGTAATCATCGAGAAATAAGGTAAATTTCAAATACATTAAACATTAATTTATTCACCTAGCATTTGGCTTCAAAGTGATTAGTTTATTATACGTAAGAAAATCCGAAACCTGTAAACATTACGTTAATTTTCAACCAATAAACCAGTGATGATAATATTGGGTGCGAATTGCACTATTTGTTGAACTGACTGATGTTTGAAATGTAAAACACTGGAGTTTAATTCAACTGTTTAACTTTATTTTGGCTACACTAAAATTTAAGAGGTTCAACTCAGCACATAGTAGTAGATGAATGCTTCAAAATAATTGAAAATTAGGTTGAAAAACGTGTAGAATTTAATCAGATACTCGCGTAAATTAGCTATAAATATTAACTTGCCTAGATATTTGAAGTCAGTCAACTACAACGTTGGACCAGGCACATATATATGCATCGGTTCAAGTTATCACACCTTATTTGCACAACAAGATGAACACCGAATTCATAAAAGTAGTCACTTCAACGGTAGTAATGTATGAAAGAAAGATTGTGTATAAGGATATAGTACTGCAAGAAAGAATTAGTTCGTAAAAAGAAAAGCGAAGAGCAATTTTAATCTCACGGTTTTAAGGGAAAACAAAGAGTGTACACACCTATGCCATTGTGATCAATTTTGAGTCATGTCACCAAGTTTCCGACCACTGGTTATGGTAGTCGCGCGGACTCCAACCAAGTAGTCTGCATCTATCAACATGGCTCGGACCAGAAGTTAGTAGCTTTATGGATTGTTACTACGTTTTGATTTGGCTGCCCCTAACTTTCTTTTATCCGTGTCCAACACTAGTCAGTATCACATGCCGTGGTAATCGGTGGTTGATGAGGATTTACAATCTCATCAACTGATTTACCACCATTCTCCAATATCCTGTGTCTAACCTCATTATTACTTATCCGGTGATCCCAACTGATGCTGGAAATATTTCTAAGACATCTGTGATCAAATACTAGTAATTAATGATTATCCTCTACCCTTATTGGTCAAGTTTCGCCATTATTATTATTATTCGATTTATTAAATATAATATTCGTTGTAATATTAAAGATTACTTTGTAATTACCGAAATAAGCAATAATGATCGTTTATTTAATGTGATATTAATCAATTGAGAAAATATTTCACTTCAACAAATTAAATGAGTAGTTATTGTAAAATTTGGCTAATTGTTTCGCATTATTGATCGATATCTCAATTTTCCAAAGCATTTCAATGTTATTTTTACTAATTTGACTTTCATATGTTTAGAATGAATAAACTTGATTCAGATTATAAATGATTTGGTTAAGCATTTGATAGTGTATAACTTCAACAAATGATGACATCATACGGTACTTTTTTATTATTTGTAATATATCCAGAAAGTACTTTCAAGGTTCTATTTCAACTGTGATATTTCAGTTATTAAATTCAAGCTTTGTTTAATAATAAGCAAAAGAATAAATGGTGGTTGGACGCGCCTCTCGTCCTAATTGAAACTCGTCAGTTGGACGTATCTGCATCCCAGAGTTGATTTCTACTCCGGCACTCGAATGCAGCACAGTTAGCTTCAAACGCCATCGCGTTATCCACTTACCTACTGAATCGTGGTAGCCACTTGTTTGTGTAGTCGGGTGAAGTTAAATTTCATTTTGTGTTGTTTGTTTTAATCTTTTCATTAATGTTTAGAACTACAATTGATCAGTCCCTTATTTGCATATGTGCATACTGTGCATGTTGCCTTAGTATTAGCTATCAGGACTCAGTAGATAAGTGGATAACGTGATGATGCTAGAAGCGAACGGTATTGGGTTCGAGTCCCAGAGTGAACTTCAACTGTGTGATGCAGATACATCCAACTGACGGGTCTTAAATAAGGCAAAACACACGTCCCAGATTCTACTACTAGCCATCATGTATCCTTGACTAGAATACTTATGACTTAAAGCAATATCGAGTCAATCCGTACAGAATGCACATATACCAATAAAAGACTGATCAATTACAGTCCTAAATATCAATGGGAAAATTCAAATAATCAATACAAAATGAATTTGTATAATGACCTTTTTTTAATGTATTCCAATGGATTATCATAAATCATAAAATGAAATATTTAATTATTCACCTCAACATGAAGAGTAACTCGGCTTATATGAGTTGGATCAATTTCTTCGGCTACTTTTAATGTATATATATTTGGATTGGGCAGTTTCACTGGCGGTTGGTCTGAAAAATGTAAAAAAAGAGAAAATGTTTTGAAGCTTCTTTACATCGAAGCTAAAGTATTTTTGTATTATACAATAAAAACGTGAAAATCCTACGTTAAGTAAATCATTTGCACATCTTTGCATTGTTTCTTTCAAACTTCAATTGTCTTTTATATACTTTGATATTCGTTCCATTCTGTTTTTATTACAATTACTTTCTGTTCCCCTACATATTCTGTTCAATTCAGTCGTCTTCTGCCAAGCATTCTATTTCCGATTGCGGCTACATACTACTTATATCCGTCAGCATAAATAGCATACACCACTCCAAAACGTATGAAGTTACATTTACCTTCTACATATGTTATGCATCAAATGAACACTGATGTGATCGTTTGTTAGAAATTTGGTAAAATTAGATATCTATTACTGATCATAAATGATTGAAGATTGATATTGGTTAAATGAAAGGTAGAATATAAAATTGATGATGATTTCACTATACATTAATAAATAAATCCATAATTAATTCAACCATTATAAATAAAAATGTCTGATTTATTTTTCATCTAATTCATAGTCATTTTTCAATACATTGAACACGAGATGTGTTTGATAAAAAATAATCAACAATGTTATAGATTTTAATAGTTGAGATCATGAGTCAATTGTATCTAGACCATCATGGAAGCAATGACCAGTGGAATTAAACCGGGTCTGTTGTGAGATAGTAGCTCATTGATGATAATGATGGATGTGTCGCTCAATTTTGTGAATTGATGAAGTCATACATTAACACCATTGGATGCCGGCTGGCTCAGTGGTCCAGAGGTTAGACGTTCGCGCGCGAGACCGATAGATCCTGGGTTGGAATCTCGCGAGGTGGGATCGTGTATGCGTACTTCCGAAGGGTCCCACAACAGGAAGAAACGGTTGTCCAGTGCTTCCAAGTTTTCCATGGTGGCCTAGCTTCCATTGACTCATGAGCTCAACCATTGAAATTACTATAATATGCACAAAACCCCTTCGGACACTAATGTTATGGATGTTTACATTTTACAATAGTAATAGTTTAAAACATTTTATATATTGTCCTCTTCTTAATGATAATATATTATAAATGTATAAACTTTATATTGAATCGACAAACTAGTGAATAAGTACAATTCAATGAATATGTGTATAGAACTGCAACAGTTATATATAAAATAATGATGATATCCAACGTCATGGATAAAAGTCAAATCATAGAATGATGTAGTGTAATTTCTATATCGTTAATGAAGAAAGATACAACGTAAACTGGTCAGTTAAAATCGACCAAATAATATTTCATTCCAATTGAATGTTTATGAAATGACAGAATTACAGGTAAACTAATTCATTATATTTGCATAATATAATCAAAACTATGATTTATGTAATAATATTATCCAGTCACTATACCATGGTTATTATAAGGGGCTTGTTAAAATTATTGAACTTTATTGTTTACATCATGGATTGATGTTAGTTAGACAATTATTTTAAAAAACTCAGATGCTCTGGATATATGTTTCGTTCTAGTAAATAATTTTACTGAAAAACTATGACGCAGTTGCCTACTTATAGCATTGAAAGGTAGTTGCTGAACTGGATCAAAGACTCAGTAAACGCTCAACTTTGAGATCGACAAGCTGGATTCCGTAAGGATCAGTTGTGCACAAACCAAATCGCGACACTACGGGTCATCTTTAAACAATCAATTGAATGAACCTCGTCACTGTACATCAAGTTCATTGACTATGAGAAAGCATTTGACAGTGTGGATAGGAGACATTATGGAAACTTCTTGGACACTGAAGTACTTGGGAAAATCGTCAACATCATACGGAATTGATATGACAGACTGCAGTGCAATGTGGTGCATGAAAGACAGCTGACAGATGCATTCCAAGTAAGGACTGGAGTCGCACAAACTGACTACCCGTCCTTTCTCTTCTAGTGATTGATTGGATTATGGAAACTTCGACATTTGAGGTAAAACACGGCACAATTTGGACTTCACAGATAACAGGACAGCATTCCTACAGTTGAATAATATATGGAACTCAAAACAACTGTCAGCCAATATCAAAATCACAATCTTCAATACGAACGTCAAGACAGTTAGTTCTACTGTACGAAGCTGAAACTTTGAGAACCATCACAACCATTATAAAAAATTCACATGTATTTATAAACAATTTTCTACGTAAGATACTGGATATCCGTTGACCGGAGATCACCAGCAACGGCCTATTATGTGAGAGAACTAACCAGCTTCCATCTGAGGAGGAAATTAGGTAAAGAGTCTAGAGGCGGATAGGACATATTTTGTGGAAACCATCAGACAACATCACGAAGCAAGTCGTAACTTTGAATCCTCAGGGAAAAGGAAAAGTGAAAGACCAAAGAACATATTGACCAGGGACTTGGAAGCAGATACAAATAGGATGAATAACAACTGGAAAGAACTGGGAAGCATTGTCCAGAGCAGCGTTGGATGGAGAATGCTAGTGAGCGACCTATACTCCTCCACGAGGAGTAACATGCGTAAGCAATTAAATAATCCCCACTTCGAGAAGGCAGTGAGTAGGACTTCCCTTCTCAGTAGCTGTATACGCTTGGCTAAGTAAGAGCATTTCGTGAGGGAGAGTGGACTCTCCCCTCCCTCTGCTTTACTAGGACATTTTTGGAAGAAATTTTATATATAAATAGTGCTCGGTCAATGTAATTAGTTTAAATAATATCAATCTCTATCGGTAGATCATAAAACAACTAAGTACTTATAGAATGATAAACATATCACTGCGATTTTCTCTGCTGTTTTTCTGTGCTCTCTATTTTTGATTTGTTTCTAGTTGTAAACAACTGAAGTTACTGTATAATGGTATTAAAAATAATTCTAGTCCTTCTATTAAGAATCCATCGTTTTCAATTCCTGTTTCACATTGTTGTGGTCAAATATCCTAAAACACTGAATAAATTACACCATTTTAAGACAATTTAACCTCATATCTCTAATCGTCATTAGTAAAATTGCTTTCTATATCAACTTAATTATATCTGTATCAGTTAATACCATGTGTAATGAAATAAAGCAAATTATTACTTACAATTTGATTCATTGATAAATTTAAACAGGAAAAATAAAATGGTAATGTGGTGTGTGCTACTTAAGTTGACATAAGTAGTATATATTTTTAGTCAGGAATAGAAAGTCTGGTAATAGTATGTTGAGAATATCGAGGAGAGAAGAATGGGAACAGAAAGGAATTGTTATAGAAATGCAGAAAAAATAAAGTCTGAGACAATTATTGAATATTTTGTAAATGAAGTATTGAATTATGATTTTTCTATTTTATCAAATAACTTTAATTTTGTATTAAATATAATCAGTTGTCCTCACCTCTGTTCTCCTTCACTACAGTAACATCTTATTTCAGAATTTCGTATCAATGACAAACAAGCTAATATTTCACAGATTAAGTAAAAGTTTAATATACTTTATTTTAATGAAATTAAAATGGGACGGAAAATGATGAAAATATGAATAGAATAGAAAATATGTTTAAGATTGATGTATAAATCATCAAACTACATCACGAGGCAAGTCTTAACTTGAAATCCTGAAGGGAAACGGAAAAGAGAAAAGACAAAGAATACATAACGTCGGGAAATAAAAGCAGATATCAAAAGGATGAACAACAACTGGAAGGGATCGCCCAGGACAGAGTTGGATGAAGAGTGTTGGTGGAGGGCCGATGCTCTTCTACGAGGAGTAACAGGTGTAAGTAAGAAAGATTGTAGTATATTTACATGTTGAATAATAATACCTAATAGAAGAGATATTGATATCATATATATATATATATATATATATATATATATATATATATATAATACTTCACGAACATAAAGTAAACATCAATATGACCGTTAAAAATTAATAACAAACAATTGGTACTTTATGTATTTTTTAGAAAGGTCACTAATATCAAAATGCTTTTGACTTGATTTATGCATACAGTATTAAAGGGAAATAAACTTTTTTATACCATTATGAATAGGATTATTATTAATTAATTCTTATTAATTGTCTTTTTCATCATTTTCTTTTCAGTTTTTTACAATTTGACTTTGGCGATAATTGTGTTGAGTAGTTATACGGTCATTTTGTTATTTTATTTATTATGATTACGTAATTCCTATTCTCTTTACGGTGATTATTAGTCACTGTTGTCAGAATCAATATAGGGTTGTGGAGATTGTCAAGTTTTTGAATGAGATCACAAATTGATTAATGTTAGATCACCATTGAAAACTTGGAAGCAATGGATTACCGTATCATCCTTGTACGGAACTCCTCATAATCCTTTCTACCAGGTATTATAAGTATTAATTTTAAACATATAAATAATCGTTAATCTAAATGATGTTTAATCACATATTTTGTGTTCCGTTCCTTTTGTTATGATTTTCAGTTCCATTTCAACTCTTAAGAATAAGATTATTGTCAGTAAGAGGCTGTGAAGATTATTGAATTTCATCAAAACTATGATTCGATCTAGGTTAGACCATAATTGAAAATCTGAAAGCACTGAACGATCGTGTCAGTTGTGAGGCAGTTACTAACCGAAGAAAATGATAGTCACGCAATGTCGTGTACTGATCGAAGTTAGACATTAACATCGTGGAACTCTGACTTTATGGTCTAGTGATTAAGCGCTTACGCGTAAAACAGGTCAGGGGTTCGATTCGCGCATGTGGAGTCGTGGACACGAACTTAGGAGTCATATAATTGTACGACGCGGCCATTCAGTACATCCAGGCTTCTAATAGTAGGTTAACATTGATCGGTTCATGATTTCAATGAAATTAGATTATCTTTTGTAAATTTAAGCTGTTTAGACTGTTGATAAGAAACCATGGTATACAACCAATTCATCATATTTCACAAATCTCGTTATACTTGTTCGGTCTAAAATTATTACAATTAAACATTAAGAAATGCATCAATATATATAACTCTTGAATTTATTTCAAAAAATTAACTTTAATTGTCTCGTGTATAAATCTACGAGATGTATGAACAAAATATGCTGAGTTTAATTCAGTTTAACTTGAGATCCTTAAAACAAAATTTATAAGATAAGATCTTTAGTAGTTAGGTTATTTTTATTCAATGTAGATTAATTTAAGTTCTGTTTACAACTCCAGATTTTTCACACATATACTTTCTTTTATCATCAAGAACAAAGATTCTAACAGAATAGGATGAATTCATCCCACGAGCGGGATCGTGGATGCGCACTGCTGGGGAGTCCCATAATAGGACGAAACAGCCGTCCAGTGCTTCCAAGTTTTTAATGGTGGTCTAACATCAATCGATTCATGATCTTAATAATTTTATTTCGTTTAGTTCTCGTCAGTTGCTTACAACCTGTGATATTTAATAACATAATCACAAAATGAGTTTAAATTAGTTACGTGAAAGAGTTTAGTCGGATGTTATTTTAAAGAAATCAGTAAGTTATGGCAAAAGTGTAAACAAATCTAATAAACTGAATATTGTAAGCACATACCTTATGCAAAAGAACATTCTACAATATTGTGACAAGAGTTCAAAGGGCCAAAAACAAGTGGTTACGTAATGAGTAAAGTCTGACAAAGATAAAATAAGTAAAGCTCAGTTAATAAAATCAGAATACTAATTTAGAAGACAGTTGAAATAAAAAGGCGTTATGATGTAATTAATCGCTTGTTTAAGTACCGTAGTCTCAAGATACCCCATAAAAAATCTACCATAATTGGGTTTATGGACTTCCCATAGCTAAATCATCAATTTAACGGTATATAGTATTATTGAACTGGAATTGAACGTCTTTTAAGAATAAAAGTAGCAGTTTTTTGAATTCTGGTACTGGTAAAGGTAGAAGGTCAGAATTCTGACAAATTATGTCATTAGTTTCAAATCGTAATATCTTGGTAAACAAGGATGTTTCATCAAAAGTAACCATGAAGTTGTAGGCAACAATCGTATGATTTAATCTGTTAGGAAATTGAAATAAATGTCTTAACGTATATGTTGCTAATCTATGATGAACTGATTCCAGATTTATTGAAATATCATCATACATAAATTGAATGAGCCAACATTTCTTAAAAGAAGTAAGATACTATGGTAATAAAATAAAATATTTAAGGGGAGAATCCTGCTTTTTATAATTCACAGTAGCTTGGTATGAGAGACAGTTATACATGTAATCACTCTATACATTACCAAAATGTCTCGTCGTACAGACACACGAACACATCATAATCTGATTTATCTATCAAACTATTTTATATAAGACTAAATTAATCATAAGAGTAAGCGAAAACAATTTCGTGGATTGGTTAAAAGTTAGACATCAACGCAGTTGAATGCCAGCTTAGTGGTCTAGAGGTTAAGCGTCTGCACGAGACCGATAGATCTTAGGTTCGAATCCCGCACGGTGGGATCGTGGATGCGCACTGCTGAGGACTCCTACACTGAGACAAAACAGTCGTTCAATGCTTCTAGGTTTTCAATGGTGATCTAGTTTACATTGACTCATGATTTCAATTATTAAAATTACTACAATCTCCACAAATTGCTGTTCTAACATAATTGTTACAATTTTTGGTAAGGTTGAATAGTGACTAGTTATGAAAATTCAAAAAGTGGTTTTCTTTTTATTCTGAACTCGTTAACTAGGTATACCAGCATCTCAATGTTAATGTTCAGAATACGAGTTCTAGATCACTCAGCTAGCCATTATTAAATTTTACCAACAAAAAAGCAACAACTTGTAATTCAACAGTTATTTCATAGTAATGCACTCAAGATGTACATAAATCAAAAGAGGCCAAACAATTCTAATCTTTAATACAAGCATTAACAACTGATTGTTACAGTTTACTGTCTATATAAATTCAAGTCTAATGATTTCTTTTACATGTTCACCTATGTAATTTATAATGGTTTATTTAAAATATTAAAAATTTATTCCTTAATTGCTAACTTCTAACTGACGACCATTGAATATATTATCGTCAAGATCGACTAACTAGTAAGAAACGCAAACTTATTGAAATACTTTATGCTGATTATTATATATTGTACCGAGACTATAATATTGAATAATGCTAATAATAATAATAATAAAAATAAACAGTTGTCAATTTAGAAATAAATAATCTATTTGTAAATGCTCAATGAGTAGAAAAATTAGATTTTCTGTTGTTTCGTGACTTAATATAGGCCACTTCTTCAGAGAATAAATAACCAACTCAAAATTAATTCAAGTTTAAGTGGTCCAATGGAACAATAAGTTTTCCATGAACATGGTTATTTTTTTTTAATTTACTACTTAATAAAGAATATCACATTGTAATAATCAGTAGTAGAAGAGAAAAATATGTTGTAAAGTTGAATGAAATTAGTTGAAATATATATGACTAATTCTTTTAAAACAAGACAAAACAATATGTTACATTAAATCGAGTGGGAAGTCGTGAATACATTAAACTTCTCACTGAAGTTTATATTACATTATGTAATAAATATAAATATACGGCACAAACACATACGATGACTATCAAATTATTTATAGTGAATTTAATAGTTTTTTAATTGATTCAAAGGATAGTAAATAAACAGAATTATAGATAAATAAATAATCTATTTGTAATATCCCAATAAGTAGAAAAATTAGATTTTCTAACGTTTCGTGACTTAGTGTAAGCCTTTTCTTCAGAAAATCGTACATATTATTAATATTAATTTCAGTAATCTATTTTAATGTAATAATATGTAAAAAAAAATTTTCTTGAAAAAAGAATAAACAAGATTTTAAATACTAATAAAATGTTCAAACACCATCATACCAATTTCGGTTTAAATAACCAGTTAGTATAACTAACTTACACATTTGAAGTACTCTTCATAGCTAAATACACAAATCTGTAGCTGGTAAAAAAAAAGAGAAAACTTACATTGTTTCAATAAAATTAATGTTTCTTTCTCTTCATCTTGTTCAATTGGTTTATCAATTAATTGATTATTAATATCAATTTCAGTTTTTAATCTATTACGTAATATTATTGGTAATGAATTCCATTCAGATTCATTATTCACATTTACTTTGGGTACTGTTTTCATATTTAATTGATATAAAATTTTGTTTTTAAATTTTTCAATAATTGATCGTGTTTTATCATTTAATTGATCATTAGTGAATTGTTGATTTTCATTATGTTCATTATTATTATTATTATTATCATAAGGATTAATACTATGATCATTTGTCATTATATTTGATAAAAATGGATTATTAATTTGTTGTGTAAGCCAATTTTCTGAATTATATAAATATGATCTAAGAGATTGTTTGTTTCCATTTGATAATTGTAAATAATATCTTAATGGTCTATGATAATATTGTTTTGTTGTTGTGGTGGTTGTGGTTGTTAAAATGGATGCATCCACTGTTGAACTAATTGAATAAAATAAATCAAATTTTAATTGACTTTTAATAATAATCATTAATAATAATGTTAATTTTATATTAAAATGGTTACATAATCTTTTAAATAATAATTCTATTTGTAAATGAATATAATATTGAAATTGTTGAATTGATAGGAAAGCGGAACTTTCAAATATCATAGATGATGATAATGATAATAATAATGATATATGATGTCTTAAAATTATAATTCGTTTATACACAATATTATGTAAGAGATTATTGTATATATTATTTATGTATTGAAGAATTAGGGAACTTTTCTTTTGGATTGTTAATGATCTGTAGAGAAACATTCTGTTGTTATATACATACACTTATATATCTATATATATACATATATTTCTATAGAGAAATATCTATATGTAAATTTAATTGGACAATACCTATGTGATCTTATCCGGTATACAACTCAAAGAAATTACAATATAAAAGTGCTCACTTCACCAAATATTATATGAGATGAATTTGACTATAGACACTTAACATAACATTTGTTGTCATACATAGGGTGTATATATATATATATATATACATATACGTATATATATATGGGAAATCGGAATGAATATACCCTAAAGATATATATGTCTATGTGTGAACACAATTACTTATTATTGTCTACTAAATTATGTGAATTTTTAACTAATGTCACTGTTATTTTTTCATTGTTTAAAATTTTCTCTTCCTTTACAATCTCCCTTTATTTTTGTTTTTAAAGAAAAATATGTATATATACATATTGTCTGTGAACATGTTTTTAAAGAATATAAATTTTTCTCCCTTCTTACAATTGTTGACATGGTAGAGAAGCAGTAATTTTGTTTCTAGGTATACATATAAATGTATGGTTGTTAAATTTTGAAAACGTGAGTATTTCGTCTATTTTTTTTAAACAATAGAAAATAATAATAATATTAATAATACAAACTTATTCATAACCTTGGTTGGTCAGTGATAATCATTTTTAAAATATCAACTATAGATAGATAGACATGAAAATTATTCCCACCCACCTGCCCATAATAATTAGTAATAAACCAATAGGATTCTTTTATTTATTTATTTATTTTCTTTTTGGGATCAAATATACAATTAACACATTTGAACTATAAAAATGTAGACTAATTATCTGTTTTGATATAAACAAATTAATTACTATATGAGATTTATGTAGATTATTCAAGGTTTTTTATTTACATTATGACAATCATTTAAAAGTCGAAAATATTGGAGAGTTATTTTATCTTAGGAAAAAACTCTTCAATTATTAAAATGGACGATTAACTGAAGACTTTTAGATCTTGCAACATGGGATTAACTTTGAATGAATCTTCTTTTGAAGACACTAATATTGGGTGTAGGTACGTTTAAGTACCATGTTTCAAGATGATGTGAAAACCTGTTTTAATATCATCTTAGTCATGTTGTATATGGAGACGTGTTTATCGTGCATAATTTAGTAATAAAAAAATATTTCACAGATTAGTGATGATCACAGGTATTTTTACGAAAACAAAATTATAGTGAAATACCGAATTCATTATACTAAACTATACTAAACAGAGTATGTACAGAATTGATAAAGCAAATGTTAAATGAATTATAATTATTAGCATTTTTCTTTAATCGTTTATAATGAATAAATAAGTTAGGCATTAATATCGTTGGATGCTGGGTCAGTAGTCTAGAGGTTAAATATACACGCATAAGACTGAGGGTCTTGAGTCGAGTCCCGTTTGTGCGATCGTGGATGCTTACTGTTTAGGAGTTCCATACTAGTGTTTCCAGATTTTTAATGGTAGTCTATCCTATATTGATTCATGAATTCAACTGTTGAAATACTACAATCTTCACAAATCCCCATACTGAGGATAAATATAAGTCGAGAAAACTATTGTACTTCATAATGATACATTCGTAATACTTGTATAAGTAATAAACGATTTGGATTACATGCATGACACAACTTCATTTAAGTTGCTTCATCAACACATTTGGACTTGATAACCTATGGATTGTTTCAACCACTTACCTTACTCTTCAATTGAAAAATGTATTTTGATTCATATTTTAGGATATTTTTAAAATTAATATAATGGTTGTTGAATATACGATGCATTACTATGATCAATTTCATTTGAACATTTCCAAGTTTTACAGAATTATGACGAAATCTTTTAAGATACTTTAAATGATAAGACTTGTAGTGTCGCTTACTACGTTAAGTCCATATAACTTATTCTAGCTTCGGGACAGGTCAATTTATTCATTCTTCTTCAGTCATATTTTGACCTTGTTAATTATTCACTTTTTAACCTTGAGTGTTTTCATATGAGCGTATATGTGTACACTTCTTATCCTTCTCATCACATGACTATAACTTATTTTCGTGTGACTATAAACTCTCGGTTAAATGGAGTAGGCTTACATGCCTTCTTCACTGTGCGTCGTTTCACTTCGCTCTCTTCTCTTTGCTTCTTCCTTCTGATTATCTGTCCAGATGAATGTGTACAAAATATACGTATTCAAAAATTCATTCTCGTATTTGACTTATTTAATTCCATTATTCAGCAACTCGAGTTAAGTCGATAATAATAAACGAGAATAGCCAGGATACATATTTCGACAACAATCTATCAATAGCGATCAATATATGATATAATCTGAGTCAGATCTTGGGCTATTAAAGTGGTGAGCCTATCGACAACATCGTCCGATCTAATTGACGACAAAATAAAGGCTCCTACTAAAGACTCTTCGATATGAAATGTTCAGTCATGAAGACCTAAATTTGTAGTTTAGTGTTACTTTAAATGAGATTTATCATTTACTTTAGCTTTAAAACTTTGAATAACAAATCAATTTATCCTGTATATTTAGTTTTTTCTTTCTCAATTTTTAATGATTATCGGTAAACGATTTTGTGAAGATTGTATAACTTTTGTAGCTTAAATCACAAACTGATTTTAGATATACCACCATTGAAAACCAAGTAGTACTAGATAGTTGCTTTGTCCTAGCATGGGACTCTTCAATAGTACGCATCCACGAACTTGACACAAAGAAATAAACCCAGGATCTGTGGTCTCGGGTGTGCATGCCGAACTTCTAAGCCATGAAGCAGGTATCTAGTGGTATACATGTCTAACTTCAATGAATGTGAGATATTTTAGAAGTTCTAGTGACCAATCGAGTTCAACAATTTCGGTTGTGAAACTATATTACACTTTATGATAGACGCTCACGTATTATTGTGAATTGATTGGAGTTAGACATCTATACCACTGGACGAAGGTTTACTGATCTAGAGGTTAAGATTTTATAATAATTTCTAATTTGTAATTTATCACTGAAAATATCTCATTTCCATTTAACAGTTACTTCGGCTTGATATAAATTTCATCTGACAACAGTCATTGTACATACTGTAGCAATGTTCACAAACTGTACTTCATAAATATTGAGACTTATCATATTCTTTTAAAGTTACTTTGATTTTACCTGGCATCTTTTTTAAAATTAATGGAGCACATATGACAGCGTGACTGTTTTCTCTGATACGCCATACCAGCTAGTATGAGTGTAAATTAAAAACAGGTTATCATTAGTTAAAACAATACATAATATGTATTATTGAAATGATAAGCTATTGGATAGAATAGAGTTAAATGAAGCAGACATTTTCATGTATACAAGTGAAATACTCTTATTCCGTAATCAATCATCTTAAGTTAAGCGACATCAAAATCAATCGGAAACATACTGTTACTCTATGTTTGTAGACTCCCTGATGTCACCCGTTTTTTTTCGGATTACATGTCGTCTTTTCAATAAATACCCAAAGTAAGGTCAATATTAGTTTTCATTACATAAACAAGAGCACATTTATTTGACCTTTACGAAGTGCTCTCCATTTAAGATAATATGCTTTTTCGATCTCATCTTCATAAGTCAGGAACAATGATCTCAACGTTCAAAGTTTATCTGGAAACATATTTACTTGCATTTCTTTCAAGCTCAATTCTTCAGAAAACAATACTAAAGTAATCAGTAGTTTAAAAGCTACAAGATATGGCAGAAGATAGACAATCATCCTACATTTTCATCATTCTTCCAACCTTCAAACTTGATTCACTTGAAAATAACTAGTTTTCATTATTTGACCTCTCTCGCTCTTTCTGTCTCATAGACATTCTTCAACATTTTATAAATATTCTGATAAATTTTCTAAATTTCAATTTACTTAGTTTAGTAAACACTAGCAACTACTTTGTGACTGATATATTGACTTGATCAAGTCATAATTACTAGAATGTACTCTGCCTTAAATCTGGCTAATTTTATGGATTACTAATTTGGAGTTATAATTGTAGAACCTAATCAGAAATTATTGAGAAGAATATCCTTCGTTCACATAATTGTGTTGCAACATTTAAGTTTGAAAATGAACCATGTAAATAATATCTGGTGTTTAAGAGAATTCCAATACTTACTTACTTGCTTACTTATGGAGGAGTCTAGGTCATCCACCAACATTATCCATCCTACTCTATCCTAGACAATTCTCCCCAATTGTTTCCAGTTGTTATTTATTCTTTTGGCGTATGCTTTCAAGTCCCGAGTCAATGTATTCTTTGATATTCCACTTTTCCTTTTCAATTCAGGATTTCAAGTTAACGCTTGCCTCGTACTACAATTTATAGCTCTTCTAGTGTTATTGCCGATCTCAATTCCAGGTAAAGGATGAGGGTTGGGCATGTTGTCAACAATTCCATCTTGTAGAAAACAACCTTTTTAAAAAAATAAAAAAACACTAACCAGAATAAAATTTTAATACTATTTCATTAAATAATATAATCACTTAATCAGCAGGTAGATAGTTCACTAATTTTTTAAACACCAAAAGTATTTCATAAATCTATTACATTCAGAAGTTGTATAAATTATCTTCAAGTTAGAGATGTTATCATTGAGATAAATGAATGTGATGTATGGACACTGATTATCCGTAAAAACTTCCATAGAGATATCACCCTATTTAGACCTGTGGCCACATTACGACTTAACTGATATTTGTAAACATGTAAAAAAGTTGATAAGAAGATGAAATTAGAAAATATGTTCTTTCTGGTTACAATGGTCTAAATTTATATCGTCAAATGAGTCGAGAGTTTGAATTCTTGGTGACATCTTATTATATGCTATATGTTGATAAAAAAATAATGAAAAAGTTGTTCTTAGCAATAAATCATGATGAAGTTCATTTTCATTCACGAAATTGCGCAACCATCTTCCATTGTCTCACTCGCACACGCTTAACCTCTATACCACTGAGTCAGTCTCATACATTGGTAATGTCTATCCTGAGTCGACGAAATTGCGCGACCATCTTCGATTGTACTGAGGCAGATACTTGTCTCTACCCGACTCGGATTAGCTCCACTGGTCACGGTTTCTCATTAGAACTTCGAAAATTCCCTTACGAAGCTAGTCACTGGTGAGCACACGGTAATTATCAGTACAAGGTTTGTGGAAGCCGTGATCGGTGGGATTAATCCGTGTCGGGTAGAGACAAGTATCTGCCTCAGTACAATCGAAGATGGTAGCGCAATTTCGTTGATTCAGGATAGACATTACCAATGTATGAGACTGGCTCAGTGGTATAGAGGTTAAGCGTGTGCGAGTGAGATCGAAGGCCCTTGGTTCGAGTTCCGCGAGTGGGACCGTGGATGAGCACTGCTGAGGAGTCCCACTGTAGGACAAAACGGCCGTCCAGTGCTTTCACGTTTTTCATGGTGGTCTAGCTTCAATTGACTCATGATCTCGACTATTAAAAAAATTACTATAATATCCACAAAAACCCTTCTGATATGAAATGTAAGTATTAACAATTGATCATATGAATTGTAAAACATCATCATACAATTGAGAAGTATCTGAATATAGAACTTTTTTTCAGATACTAACCTTAATCAGCACATGACTATGTAGTTGTAAAACGCCTACAAAATGAATACATCTCTGACATGTATACATATTTATCGTCTCAATTCATTAGTCTAATTATTATTATTATTATTTTTTACTTGTATCCTATTAACTATATTCCTTTTAATAGATTTCTAATTGTATATCAAACACTTGATAATATCAACTGATTAGTAAATAGAGAAATATATAAACCTGACACATCATTATAAACAAACAAAACAAAACAAACAAACCAAACAAACATGAAAAATGTATACTGTACTTTAAATAAAAAGTAAGTTATGGAGGATATGAGTAAAATGATAAGTAATACATTCGGTTATTTATTGGTTGTATACATGTATATATGCGTATATATATATATATATATATATATATATATATATATATATATATATATGTCAGTTGACTCACTTAACTTTCGATTCATATGACAAAATGAATAGATAAATAAATAAAATCAAGAGAGTGGGACGTTGGAAGAAAAATAACACTGAACAATAGTCTATACGTATGAGGAAATTTATCTGAATGATAGTTAGCTGCAATGGTATATATTTATATGTATACATATTTAAAAGACTAGTATTTGAACGAAGAATATTCTTTTCGATAAATTCTCTTCAGGTTCTACAATTATATATCCAAATTAATAATCCGAAAAATGGCCAGTTTAAGGGTAAAGTACATAGTTTAAAGCATGTGAATTTAGGATTGTGATAAATAAAATACAATAAAATTGTGCATGTTGTTATGACTCATAAAGAATGTTAACTTGAATCTGAGTTTATGTTCAGTGAGATTTTAAGATCTATGATCAGAATAAATATGGGTCAAGTAGGGTGAGAAAAATAATAGTGCAATTACCATTCGATCAAATAGGTAAGACGTAATAAGGAGGGAAGAATCATGTATAGGGGAGATTAATAATGAATAATAATAATAATAATAATAATAATAATACAATGATTTATGAATAAAGATAACAGAGAAAATTACAATTGACTACGAAAGGTCATAGTCAAATTACGTCATTCAATAGTTAAGATTACGATTGATTAATTGGCCTTGATGTTGGCCAGGGGAGGAGGAGTGGTTGAATATATTTCTTCTGTACGCATAGCTCCGGTTTCTTCATCCGGATGGCTATTGCTTCAGCTGTTTGAAGGACTTTCAGTCTGACCAGTTTGGGCAAAAAATTACTGACCTTATAAATAATTGAAAAAGACTGGTTTAAACTGGCACTATGACCAGTTTGTACTAAATGGGCTAATATTGAGCTGTTCACTTTCTTCATCAAACCTTTGTTAAGCCACGCTGGAAGGTGTTCACGAGCACGAAAATGTAAATTCCTAGAACTTCGACCAATATAACTCGCTCCACAGGAGCAGTCGAACTGATAAATGCAAAATGAGGTGGTCATTCTAGGTAATTCATCTTTTAGTCTCGGTGTAACCATTGGGCGCGTAGAAAACACTAATCGCAGTTCTCCGGCGTTAAAAGATTTTTGTATTGTCCTACGTAGTCTCTGAGTTAATATTTCACTCGCCACATCCCCTCTGAATTGTAAACGCATGAACAGGGATTTCTTCTTCACTGTTTGTATTTCGCCTATTTTCGCCTTCGTGATCATATATTTAGTTATAAACTTTCTAGGGTAGCCGTTCTCCCTGAGAGTATTATGCAAGCTGTTAAGCTCTTGTATACATATTTAATAATAGTAATAATAATCTAAAATAAACAATAAAAGTCTTATGGAATAGATGGATTGTATCAAACAATAAAGTCCAGTAGGCACATTTTATCCTATTTTAAAAAGATGATTCAAATTTACCTATTAAATATCAGTATTCACATCACTAATTAGACTAGAATCCAATGATTTTCATTTTAAAACATGTCTGTTATACACTGATTTGCATATTCTGGATAATCAATAGATTATTCAACGGGTGCAATGTTTATATCATTAGTAGTATGTGTTTGAATGATCCAGTTGAAGTATCTGACTACATTTTTGATCAATCTTTGTAATGTAATTCAATCTTGAGTATTAATAACAGGATCATTCATGAGATGAAATCAAGTTTTCAAAAAATAAAATTCTTTTAAAGCAATTAGTCCTTTTTAATCAAAGAAGTAGATTTTGAAACAAACTAGTCACGTATATGTTTATCAAAAGGGATCTGTACATAAGAACGAATGGAAGTTAATTAAATACAGTGTAGTAATTTAAAATAAAAGAAAGTTGTTATAACTTGTGACCTGTGCGCCCTGTTAATGTATAACGTGATAATACTGCCAATTAGAGAACAGTGATTTATTGGTCGCACCAGTGACTCATAAAACACGTACGAGCAGTCTAGGGTACTTATCGGTCCTGATTCCTGCCTAGCCAAGCCAGTTAAGTCCAGAACACCAATCTCAGCCTCTGCAATATGAATCATTTATTTCAAACATACTCGCTTTATATACCAATCAAACAGACCACATCGTACCATGAAATAGGAAACAACATTTATACAAGATTTGGCCAAATGTGGCTGTGAATGTGCGAAGTAATGATTAATAGACAGGGAATAATTCAAGAATGGTAAATCGTATAATAATAGTTCATAGGTTAAAATAAAGCTTATGATAAGAGGGACATGAAATGAATAGTTTACTTATTTAACAATTAAACTACAAAAATATACGCATAACTGAGAACAGATTAATGGTAATAAAGAAAGATATAAATTGAAATCAGTTGGTTATGAATTAAAGAAAAGTGACCATGATGTAATCTGATTTCAGAAAGAGTTGAAACAATGATGCAATAAAATGGATCATTCTATGAACCATCGTGTTATCAGTTAGATTTTACCGGGTCTGTGAGAACAGTTTCATTCCATGGTTATAAACTACCCTCCCATACCTAGCTAGAGATGTTCGGCGATTATATTTAACCGATTGTCTATGTTTCTAATGAGTTGATTACATCTACTGGGAGCAACATGTTACCAATACCGTAGTCTAACAATATATTTTCGGTCGCATTAACGATAACCATCATGAAACACTGGCTATGGTGGCCCAGTCGTGTGGCCAAATGTATACAACCACTATCAGGGAAGTCCTGCTGTTTATGAAAGTGAAAGGACGAAAACCGAGTGTCCATTGCTGCAACCGGGTTGGTAGATACGAAGGATCCACCTAGAGGAGTTGGAAAACCCTGACATCAAACCAGTGGTGCACACGGGATCAAGTATCATGAGGGAACAAATGGCGTGTGAACCTATTGTTGGGCATCGGTTACTATGGGACTATATGTTTTAATGTTGCTCCACTACATCATATATTAGATCCGTAGATCAAAGGCTGGGGTACCGACCCCCTAGAACACCATCTGCTCCGATTTGGGCGCTCGGACAGTAGTCCAGCCCTCACACAAATTAACAGACAAGACGTGACGCATATATATGTGGTGCCTCCTTGTACTAATATTTGTGTGTTTAAAAAAACAACTAAATAAATATAGTCATATTTTACAAAAGTTGTCCCAGCAGCTTCCACATGGCACATAATTTGCTGATTTTGAAAGTGGATAGAAAAAGCAGATAAGTGGTTAGTTTATG